CACTCATTCTGATGGTGGTGAGATAGAATCTTGATGTCATTTTTATTTACATTTCCTTTATGGCTAAGGATGTTAAACATTTCTTCATGTATTTATTTCCATTTGTACTTCTTTTGAGAACTGTCTGTTCAATTCCTTTGTCCATTTATTAATTGGATTGTTTGTTCATTTGGTATTTGATTTTTTTGTCATCTCCAATTTCATTAATTTGGGCCTTCTCTCTCTTTATTTTGATTATTTTGGCCAAGAGTTTGACAATCTTGTTTATCTTTTTCTTTTTTTTTTTTTTGTGGTGGTACTAGAGTTTGAACTCAGGGTCTCATGCTTGCTAGGCTGGTGCTCTACCACTTGAGCCACTTCACCAGCCCTTGTTTATCTTTCCAAAGGACCAACTCTTGATTGCTGTGATTCTTTGTGTTCTTTTGGTCTCCATTTTATTAATTTCTGTCCTGGTTTTTGTTATTCTTTCTGTCTACTGCTTTTGGGTTTGGCTTGCTCTTGTTTTTCTAAGAGATTGATGAGTGTCATTATTTATTTGGGATCTCATTTTTCAATGTAGGCACTCATAGCCATAAACTTTCTTCTTATCACTGCCTTTCTGTGTCCTAAATGTTTTGGTAAATTGTGTTTTCATTTTGTTTGAGTGTAGAAATTTTTTTATTTTCCCCCTTATTTCTTCCATGACCCACTAATCATTCAAAATTTTATTGTTCAGTCTCTATGTGTTTCAATATTTTCTGTAGTTTTTCTTGTTGATTTCTCATTTTCTTCCATTGTGGTCTGATAAAACACAGGAGGTTGCATTTGTTAGGCTTTATGTCCTGAAATATCACCTATTTTGGAGAAAGTTCCTTGGACTGCTGTGAAGGATGCATATTTTGTAATATTCTGTAGATTAATGTTAAGTCTATTAACTTATATTTAATTCTTCATTTAATTCTGAAGTTTCCTTGTTGATTTTTTTTTTTTTGGGTCTGGGTGACTCATCTATTGGTAAGAGGGGGATATTGAAGTCACCCATTATTATCATGTTAGGGGCCTATCTGTGTGTTCTATGGGTTTGTTTTTATGAAATTGGGTACATTGAAGTGTGGGCTTGTTCTGTAGCTAGTCATGCTAGTCTGTCACCAATGCCATCTAGCTTACCTTGTGGTGGAGGCTGCATCTCCCCACTCTCCTCACTAGGAAGCTGGGGCTTGAGCTGTAGACTGTTTCTGACTTTGCTCTGAAATCTTTCTGTTTCCTCATGGTTTTTCAGCTGTCTTGTCCCTCTTTTGTGGTTCCCAATGCTCTTCCTCTCTCCAAACAGAAAAATCTTCTGCTCCACCATATTGCCTCACGTTCTCAAGTATTTTTCTTAATGGAAAAATTTTTGATTGAGACCTCAAAATTGCCACTTAGTAACCTGCAAATTTTTTACACATATGCTTAATGACTCCTTATACAGTCAGACTTCCATATCTATAGGTTCCGTACCCATGGATTCAACACAAAATATTTGAAAAAAATTGCATTTGTACTGTAATGCAATACAGTAATGCAATGGATCATCTCAGTATCCATTGGGGGTCCCTGCACCAATCCCCAACAGATGCTGATGGGTGACTGTAATCATTCTCTGAGATCTACTCTGTCAGGTGGCATAGATGTTAATGTTTTTTTGTTTTTTAGAAGGTAGAACCTAGAGACTTTAACTGTTGGCCAAGTTCACACAGCTGATGGGGCTTGGGTAAGAAGTCATGATTTTTGATCATTGATCATTGCTCTTTTTAGCAAAATGAGATCCTGACAGGAAATACAGAGTACTCAAACAATATCCTATGAAAGAATCTCACAGTCTTGATTCTTAGAGTTACTTTGTTATCTTTCACTTTTCACTTAGACTATCAGAATTATTGTTTAAATTTCCTTTAGTGATAGCAGAAAAACAGTTCCAGTTCCTTATTGATTTATAAATGCCAAAGATAAGCTTTTAAGACACTGACCAAACTAAATAGAGGTAGAATATATTTTTAATTTAGAAACCTGGTCTTTTTCTCTGCAGAGCCGAAATGAATATATTGCTCACCTCAAGGACCAGTTGCAAGAGATGAAGGCAAAAACTAACTTGGAAAATCAATACATGAAAAAAAATACTGAGCTGCAGATTTCTCAGACCCAGAAAAAATGTAACAAAGCAGAGGAACTCTTGCTAGAAGAGATTGAGGTAATTGTTGCTACATTAGGAAACAGCCAGGTTGACTTGGGATGTGTTCATGGTAGAGTGCATACCTAGTTTGCGTCAGGCCCTGGGTTTCATCCGTAGCCAGCTAGATACGATTTGAGCTGTCACTCTCCTGATACTGTGTCAGCTAACAAGAGAGAAGACAGAGGGAGATATTCCTCCCATCTATCACTTCCCAGCCCTTGAGACTGATAATAAAGACTAAATGAGGTCTTAAGTATCTGAAAGCAGGGGTTTTGATAGGCTGTGCCCTCCATCTCCTGCTTCTCTTACAATGACTTTGAAACTCAGTTGTACTTTCTCTTCTTGGTCACTTAATTCTTTTTTGGGGGAAGGAGGCAGTGACAGGATCTCGCTATACTGTCCAGGTTTCCTGGAACTCTTGGGTTCTTAAGCAAACCTTCTGCCTCAGCCTTTGCAGTAGCTGGGACTATAGGCTAGCACCACCAAGCCTGGCTGGTCTTATTCTTCTTAAAATGCCACTAGCCACTTTTTGTAGTGATTATTGGGAGAGGACAAAACCAGATACTGCAGGTCTCTGCTCCTTCTTACTTCATCCAACTAGTACCTTTTATCCTCTCTCTAAAAAAAAAAAAATACAAAATCTACAGAATTGAATTTCATTCATACCCAATTTTATAAGGATAAGAAGTCTCACTGAAAACTCTCAGGAGAAAGAGGGGTATAATTTCATTAGAGAAGGAATGCTAAATGGTTAAAGAACAAACACAGGCCAGAAAAAGGAACAGCCATTATTAGAGGGTGTCATTAAGCCTGTCATGGTGGCCCATGCCTGTATTTGAGCACGTGGGAGACTGAGAGGGAGGATTTTGATTTTAAGTTGCCTGGGCAACTTAGCAAAACCTGTCTCAAAGGAAAAGAAAAAAAAAAGGGTGGCATTTGTGTGTAGGAGGACTTTTTCCCTGACACCTCTGCTTATGTGAAAGTTCACCACTCAGGGGGTAGTTAGGACTGTGACAATATACTTCTTTCACTCTGGGAATCTCAGGCCCTTGAAGCATTGTTTTCCTCCTTAAATTGGTATCATGGGATTGTGGTCATTTTCTTCTGGGCCTTGCACATATCTAACGTGATGCCAGGACATGGCTCTGTGACATCTGCGAAACGTGCATCGAGTTGAATGGAGCCAAATTGTAGCTCTGGAGCAAAGTCTTGGCATTTCTGGGATCCAACTGGAAAAGGCACCCTGTGCTGCTGCTCTCAGTTGTACCTGTCACTGAAGAACTTTCCATCCCAGTCTTTCTGGATAGAATTCCTGCTATCTGATTGCTGTTTTTACAGAAACTAAGGATGAAAACTGAAGAAGAGAACCGGATTCACATGGAGATTGAAGTGTTCCTGAGAAAAGAGCAGCAAGTGAGTCACCAAAACCTTTTATCTTCTGATTTTTTAAAAAAAATTCCCTTTATAAAATACTGAAAAGACAGGGTCTTGCTATGCCAAAGTTGACCTTGAACTCACTATGTAGCTTAAGCTGACCCTAAACTCACTAGGTAGCTCAGGCTGGCCTCAAACTTGTGATCCTCCTGCCTCAGCATCTTGTGTGCTGGGATTACAGGTGTGCACCACCACACCTGGCAAAAATAATTTTTTGGTGGTATTGGGGTTTGAATGCCTATGGCTGATGGACTATCCAAGAAAGGAATAAACTTGAAGGTAGGGGGAGAAGAGGATCCTTCCTGAGACTTTCCAAGTTGAGAGCCTCATTGGAGAGGGTATGGCTGTGAACACCTGGATGGCACAGGTGTTTGCTGGATTGCCCTGAGCTAGGATAAGGCAGGCAGGCTAAGACCAAAAAGCAGGAAACGGATTTTGCTGAAGTTTTTTTTTTTTTTTTTTTCTAAATCATGAGTACTAGATTTAATGAGGAGGTTTTTTTTCATTCATTGAGATGATACAGGTTTTTTTTACCTCTAATAATATATTCATAAAATATATGAATAGATTTGCTGAGGTAGAATTATCTTTAAATTTAAATCTTTAAATAAACCTTACCTAGTCATGTTGTGCTGTGCTGTCAGTAAAACGGTGACTGTGTGCCATTGAGGTCTGACACAGCACTAGTAGTGTGCCACAAGCAACACTGGGAACCAAGGAGACCTCCTGCTGTGTTCTCTAGTGCCCTCTACTGACTAAGTTTAGCATTTTGCTAAGTGGCCAAACATATTTATACCAAGCATCTTTTCCAAAGCAAGGCAGTGAAGGATAAATTTGGAGCTAGGAGGTAATAAATTGATGACTGGCAAAGATGGGATGTGTGTGTGTGTGTGCTTTTGTTTTGCTAGGGATTGTACGTAGTCTCTCACATGCTGTTCTAAGCTGGGTTTTTTTGGAAGGGTTGGGGAGGGTAGAACTGAGATTTGAACTCAGGGAGTTGTGTTTGCAGAGCAGGTACTGTTCAGCTTGAGCCATGCTTCCCATCCGAGCTGGTCTTTTTTCTTTTTTTAATTTTTATTTTACTCATATGTGCATACAATGTTTGGGTCATTTCTCCCCCTTTCCCCTTGCCTCCTCCCTTGCCCACCCCCCGGCTCCCTCCCTTACCCCCTCTTACCCCTCGCTACCTGGCAGAAACTATTTTTCCCTTATCTCTAATTTTGTTGAAGAGAGAGTATAAGCAATAATAGAAAGGAACAAGGGTTTTTGCTAGTTGAGATGAGGATAGCTATACAGGGAGTTGACTTGCATTGATTTCCTGTGCATGTGTGTTACCTTCTAGGTTAATTCTTCTTGAACTAACCTTTTCTCTAGTTCCTGGTCCCCTTCTCCTATTGGCCTCAGTTGCTTTAAAGTATCTGCTTTAGTTTCTCTGCGTTGAGGGCAACAAATGCTATCTAGGTTTTTAGGTGTCTAACCTATCCTCATACCTCACTTGTGTGATCAAAGTCCAATCCCCTTGTTGTGTTTGCCCTTGATCTAATGCCCACATATGAGGGAGAATATATGATTTTTGGTCTTTTGGGCCAGGCTAACCTCACTCGGAATGATGTTCTCCAATTCCATCCATTTACCAGCGAATGATAACATTTCGTTCTTCTTCATGGCTGCATAAAATTCCATTGTGTATAGATACCACATTTTCTTATCCATTCAGTAGTGGGGCATCTTGGCTGTTTCCATAACTTGGCTATTGTGAATAGTGCCGCAATAAACATGGGTGTGCAGGTGCCTCTGGAGTAACCTGTGTCACAGTCTTTTGGGTATATCCCCCAAGAGCGGTATTGCTGGACCAAATGGTAGATCAATGTTTAGCTTTTTAAGTAGCCTCCAAATTTTTTTCCAGAGTGGTTGTACTAGTTTACATTCCCACCACAGTGTAAGAGGGTTCCTTTTTCCCCATCCTCGCCAACACCTGTTGTTGGTGGTGTTGCTGATGATGGCTATTCTAACAGGGGTGAGGTGGAAACTTAGCGTGGTTTTAATTTGCATTTCCTTTATTGCTAGAGATGTTCCCTATATATTCTGGTTATCAGTCCTTTGTCTGATGTATAGCTGGCAAATATTTTCTCCCACTCTGTGGGTGTTCTCTTCAGTTTAGAGACCATTTCTTTTGTTGACTAGAAGCTTTTTAATTTTATGAAGTCCCATTTATCTATGCTATCTCTTAGTTGCTGTGCTGCTGGGGTTTCGTTGAGAAAGTTCTTACCTATACCTACTAACTCCAGAGTATTTCCTACTCTTTCCTGTATCAACTTTAGAGTTTGTGGTCTGATATTAAGATCCTTGATCCATTTTGAGTTAATATTGGTATAGGGTGATATACATGGATCTAGTTTCAGTTTTTTGCAGACTGCTAACCAGTTTTCTCAGCAGTTTTTGTTGAAGAGGCTGTTCTTTTCTCCATTGTATATTTTTAGCGCTTTTGTCAAAGACAAGTTGGTTATAGTTGTGTGGCTTCATATCTGGGTCCTCTATTCTGTTCCACTGGTCTTCATGTCTGTTTTTGTGCCAGTACCATGCTGTTTTTATTGTTATTGCTTTGTAATATAGTTTGAAGTCAGGTATTGTGATACCTCCTGCATTGTTCTTTTGACTGAGTATTGCCTTGGCTATTCGTGGCCTCTTGTGTTTCCATATAAATTTAACGGTAGATTTTCAATCTCTTTAATGAATGTCATTGGAATTTTGATGGGAATTGCATTAAACATGTAGATTACTTTTGGGAGTATAGACATTTTTACTATGTTGATTCTACCAATCCATGAGCATGGGAGATCTCTCCACTTTCTATAGTCTTCCTCAATCTCTTTCTTCAGAAGTGTATAGTTTTCCTTGTAGAGGTCTTTCACATCTTTTGTTAGGTTTACACCTAGGTATTTGATTTTTTTTGAGGCTATTGTAAATGGAATTGTTTTCATATATTCTTTTTCAGTTTGTTCATTATTAGTGTATAGAAATGCTAATGATTTTTCTATGTTGATTTTATAACCTGCTACCTTGTTGTAGCTATTGATGGTGTCTAGGAGCTTCTGAATAGAGTTTTTTGGGTCTTTAAGGTATAGGATCATGTTGTCTGCAAATAGGGATATTTTGACAGTTTCTTTATCTATTTGTATTCCTTTTATTCCTTTTTCTTGCCTAATTGCTCTGGCTAGGAATTCCAGTACTATGTTGAATAGGAGTGGAGATAGTGGGCATCCTTGTCTAGTCCCTGATTTTAGAGGGAATGGTTTCAGTTTTTCTCTGTTAAGTATAATGCTGGCTGTAGGTTTGTTATATATAGCTTTTATAATGTTGAGGTACTTTCCTTTTATTCCTAGTTTTCTTAGAGCTTTTATCATGAAATGGTGTTGGATCTTATCAAAGGCTTTTTCTGCATCTATTGAGATGATCAAGTGGTTTTTGTCCTTGCTTCTGTTAATGTGGTTTGTTAAGTTGATTTTTGTTTGTTTAGCCACCCCTGCATTCCTGGGATGAAGCCTACTTGGTCGTGGTGAATAATCTTTTTGATGTGTTGTTGAATTCGGTTTGCCATTATTTTGTTAAGGATTTTTGCATCAATATTTATTAAGGAGATTGGCCTATAGTTCTCCTATTTGGAGGTGTCTTTGCCTGGTTTGGGGATAAGTGTAATACTGGCTTCATAAAATGTGTTTGGCAGTTTTCCTTCCCTTTCTATTTCATGGAACAGTTTAAGGAGGGTTGGCGTCAGTTCTTCTTTAAAGGTCTGATAGAATTCAGCAGAGAATTCATCAGGTCCTGGACGTTTTTTTTGGGGGGAGACTCTTGATTGCTGCTTCAATTTCATGTTGTGTTATAGATCTATTCAGGTGATTAATTTCCTCTTGGTTCAGTTTTGGATGATTGATTGTATATATCTAGAAATTGTCCATTTCTTTAAGTTTCAATTTTTTTTGAACATAGTTTCTTGAAGTAGTCTCTGATGATTTCCTGGACTTCCATGGTGTTTGTTGTTATCTTCCCTTTTGCATTCCTGATTCTACTAATTTGGGTTTTTTCCCTCCTCATTTTAGTAAGGTGTGCCAGGGGTCTATCGATCTTATTTATTTTTTTAAAGAACCAACTTTTTGTTTCATTAATTCTTTGTATGGTTTTTTTGGTTTCTATTTCATTGATTTCAGCTCTTATTTTTATTATTTTCTCCTTCTATTTGTTTTGGGATTTGCTTGTTCTTGTTTTTCTAGGAGTTTGAGATGTATCATTAGGTCATTGATTTGGGATCTTTCAGTCTTTTTAATATATGCACTCATGGCTATAAACTTTCCTCTCAGACTGCCTTTGCTGTGTCCCATAGGTTCGGTAGGTTGTGTTTTCATTTTCATTGACTTCCAGGAACTTTTTAATTTCCTCTTTTATTTCATCATGACCCATTGTTCATTAAGTAATGAGTTATTCATTTTCCAGCTGTTTGCATGTTTTTTGTCTTTACTTTTGTTGTTGAGTTCTAGTTTTATTGCATTGTGATCAGATAGTATGCACGGTATAATTTCTATTTTCTTATATTTGCTGAGGCTTGCTTTGTGCCCTAGGATATGATCTATTTTGGAGAAGGTTCCATGGGCTGCTGAGAAGAATGTATATTGTGTAGAAGTTGGATGAAATGTTCTGTAGACATCAAGTAGGTCCATTTGATCTATTGTATATTTTAGATCTAGGATTTCTTTATTGATTTTTTGTTTGGATGACCTATCTATTGATGATAATGGGGTGTTAAAGTCTCCCACAACCACTGTGTTGGTGTTAATATATGCTTTTAGGTCTTTCATGGTATGTTTGGTGAAATTGGGTGCGTTGACATTGGGTGCATATAGGTGTATAATTATTATTTCCTTTTGATCTATTTCCCCTTTTATTGGTATGGAATGTCCTTTATCTCGTTTGATCAATGTAGGTTTGAAGTCCACATTGTCAGAGATAAGTATTGCTACTCCTGCCTGTTTTCGGGGGCCATCAGCTTGGTAAATCTTCTTCCAGCCTTTCATCCTAAGCCTATGCGTATTTTTGTCAGTGAGATGGGTCTCCTGTAAGCAACAAATTGTTGGATCTTTCTTTTTAATCCATTTTGTCAAACGGTGCCTTTTGATGGGAGAATTAAGTGTGTTAACATTAAGTGTTAGTACTGATAGGTATGTGGTGATTCCTGTCATTTAGTTGTCTTAGTAGTTTGAAGGTTTGATTGTGTGTACCTAAATCGAGGTTGCTCTCTACTTTCTTGCTTTTTTTGTCCTGTAGTTTGGTGCTGCCTGTCCTTTCATGGTTATGTTGGGTTTCACTTTCTGTGTGCAGAATCCCTTGAAGAATCTTTTGTAGTGGTGGTTTTGTGGTCACATATTGTTTTAGTTTCTGCTTATCATGGAAGCCTTTTATTGCCCCATCTATTTTGAATGATAGTTTTGCTGGGTAGAGTATCCTGGGGTTGAATGAAAATTCAGTGCCTGGAAGATCTCTCCCCATGCTCTTCTTGCTTTTAATGTTTCTGTTGAGAAGTCTGGTGTGATTTTGATGGGTTTACCTTTGTATGTTATTTGTTTTTTCTCTCTTACAGCCTTCAATATTCTTTCCCTAGTTTCTGAACTTGTTGTTTTAATGATGATATGTCGTGGGGTAGTTCTATTTTGATCTGGTCTGTTTTGTGTTCTGGAGGCCTCTTGCATCTGTATGGGAATAGATTTCTCTAGATTTTGGAAATTTTTTTATTATTTTGTTGAATATATTACGCATTCCCTTTGCTTACACCTCTTCTCCTTCTTCTTCTTCAGTGCCCATGATTCTCAGGTTTGGTCTTTTGATGGAGTCGGTGAGGTCTTTCATTTTCTTTTCACAGGTCTTGAGTTGTTTAAGTAATAGTTCTTCAGTTTTTCCTTTAATTACCATTTCATCTTCGAGTTCTGAGATTCTGTCTTCTGTTTGTTCTAGTCTGCTGGATTGGCCTTCTGTTTTGTTTTGCAATTCTGTTTTGTTCTTTTTTCTGAGGTTTTCCATATCCTGGGTCGTTTCCCCTTTGATGTTGTCTATTTTCGTCCTGAGTTCATTTATCTCTTTATTAATCGTGTTCTTTGTTTCACTTGGTGTTTATACAGTGCTTCTGTGGTTTCTTTTATTTCTTCTTGTGCTTTCTCAAATTCTCTATTTTTGTTTCTTTGAATTTCTTGAGTGTCTCCTGTACATTTTGGTTGACCATATCCAGTATCATCTTTATAAAGTTCTCATTGATTACCTGTAGGATTTCTTCTTTCAGACTGAGCTGGTCTTAATTCTTTGCTTCATGGGCCATAGGGAGAGTTGTCCCAGTTTTCAATTTTTCCTAGTATCTCACCACTCAATTTTTAAAATTATTGTTATATTGGGGGTACATATATCTTAGAATGTATCATAGTTGTACACACCCCTCCATCATTCTTCCTTCTCCCCCTCACCACTCAAAAATTTGAAGATAGTTTCCCTAATGACCAGGGTATAACCATCTTTTCCTGGGTTAGTGCAGTAATGATTATGGTTAGAAGTTTAGGTTTGGAGTTAGGTGAGCAAAATAGTGAAAAACATAAACAGCTTAGGGGAGAGAAAGTGAGAGCAAAAGGGTGGGGGTATAGTAGACTGAATGTGTATTACCTCCAAATTCATATGGGATCTTTGGTCATGATCTGGTCATGAAGGTGGAGTCCTCATGGATAGGATTAGTGTCCTTACATAAGAAGTCACAGGAGAATGCACCATGTGAGACTCAAGTGCAAAGAGTTTAAGATGTAGGTCCTTGCCAAACACAATCCTCTGTGATCTTGGACTTCCCAGCTTCCAGAACTGCGAGAAACAGATTTGTTATTTATAAGGTACCCAGTCTGTAGTGTATTTGTTATAGCAGCCCAAATGGACTAAATAAAGGAAATTTACCAGAGTTTATATTGTGATTTTTCATCCAAATTTTTCCATCTTATTTTTCCTGTTTTTTAAGCATTTTATTTTTTGGTGATATTGGGGTTTGAACTCAGAACTTTTTGCTTGCTGGGCAAGTACTTTACCACTTGAGCTACTGCCCCAGCCCTTTTTTTTTTTTTTTTTGCTTTAGTTATTTTAAGGTAAGGTCTTGCATTTTTGCCAAGGGTCAGCCTCAGAAAATCCCCCTACATACAGCCGCCTGTGTAGCTGGAATGACAGGCACTCCCCAACACACCTACCTGGCTTGTTGATTGAGATGGGATCGCACTAACTTTTTTGCCTAGGCTGGCCTTGAACTGCCATTCTCCCAATCTCTACCTCCCCATAGCTGGGAATACAGGTGTGAGCCACCAATAAATACCAGTATGGTTTTTAAGCTTTCTAGTTTTTTCCTCTCTTTTCTTAGATTGGTATTTATTTATTTTTGCTTTCTTATGCAGTCTTCAGTTTATTTGCATACCACTTACCCTCCTGAACAACTAAGTTTATTTTAAATTAGGATTTCTGTGTTATTACCATTAAAAGGGAAACCAGTGTCACTTGCCCTAAGTGGCTATTAATGTAAATAGAAGTACTATGAATAGCAAATGATGTCATTCCATTTCATTTGGACCCTCTGTCTATCTGGAACCTGTTACTTCTTAAAAACAACCTCCAAAGGCTAACTACAGCAAGAAAGATCTAGGTGTCCCAGTAGCTGACCTACATGCTTTACCTTAATTGGAGTGACTATGAATCCTGTTTAGAAAAAGCCATGCTGGACTGGAGGGATAGCTCAAGTGGTAGGGTGCTTGCCTAGCAAGCATGAGACCCTGAGTTCAAACCTCTATGCCACCAAAAGAAAAAGAAGAAAGAAAAAGCCATGCTATATCCCAACTAGAGTCACTTGTCTTACTCTTGAGGTACATGTTGTAAGACTTTGGAAGTTAAGACCTTTCTATTCCTCCAGTGGTAACTGAAATTTAAAATTTTAACATACATTGAATTTTTTCTTTCTCCTAAGTCTGAAAGTAATCAGTATCTATATCCTATTGCTCTCATTGAGGCAAAGCACTTTGCTAGGCAAGTGCTCTACCACCTGAGCCACACCCCAGTCCAAGGCAAATCCTTTTTCTTTCCTTTACTATATCCCATTTTGAATCATTCTTTATATTAATATATTGTAATTAACATTATATAAATATATATATATTTATATATATGCGTGGAACTATGTGCTTTACCAGGGTTGGCTTATTTGAGCTTCCCAACAACTAGGTGAAGGAACTAGAGGCTTAGAGACGTTCAGTAACCTGGAACACAGAGCTGAGATTTGCACCTAGGCAATCTGCCTCTGAGTCATGCTCTTTGCACTAGACTGTACTCCCATTCTGGGCCTTTAGTTCCAGGTTGTGATTTATTATTAAAAAGAACCATATATGATGTAGCTTCAAAATTTAAGACATTTTATTCTTTCATTTTCTCCTGTAATTATACATCTTTGAGTAACTTTCAAAGATGGTATCATTTTTCTACCACATTTGAATATTAGGTTGGCTAGATACATTATCTTAGACTCAGACTCACTTTCTTTTAGAAATTTGAAGACATTGCACCCTTCTTGTCTAGTATTTAGTGCTGTCAATGAGAAAGACATCAATGCCATTCTTAATCTTCAGGATTTTCTATCTACCTTTTCACTGCAACTTTCCATACCAAGACATCTGGAAGATTAAGCTGCTCCACCAGACTTGCATTTTGGGTTTTTTTTTTTTTTTTTTTGTCTATTTTTGAGATAGGGTCTGTTGAACTATTTGCTTGAGCTGGCTTTGAACTGCAATCCTTCTGATCTGTGCCTGGGTAGGTAAGATTACAGGATTGAGCCACCAGCACCTGGCTCCTCTTCTTATTTTTAAATTCAGTAACACACACAACAGAAAAATGCACAAACATTGAGCATACAGTTTGATGAAAATTTATGTATACATACCCATGTCACCACCACCCAGATAGATACAAAGAACATTTATAGCATCCCAGGTCTCTCTTGCCCCATCCCCAATCAGTAACCACTGATCTGACTTGTGTCACCACAGAAAAGTTTGGCTTGTTCTTGAACATTATATAAATGGCATCATACAGTAAAGACAGTTTTGTGTCTGGTAGAAGCCATGTTTTCATGTTCTTTCCAAATAGAAACTTGAAGAGAAGCTGGAGTTCTGGATGGAGAAATTTGATAAGGACACAGAAGCAAAACAGAATGAATTAAATGCTCTCCAGGCTGCAAAGGCCAGTGACCTAGCACACCTTCAAGACCTAGCAAAGATGGTAAGGAAGTGGAACAGTGCCTGGAGCAGCAAATGGTAGCTAAGTTCCAGGAGCTGAGGAATGCTATTTCTGGTCAAAAATGGAGGTGTGCCTTGTAAACCAATGAGATTCTTAGATGATGGTGGTGATGATGGGACAATAGTCACAGCTTATATAATACCTACTCTGTCCCAAACACTTTTCTAGTATTTTATTTAAATCTCACAACCCTTTGACATAGATATTGTATGATTATTTCCACTTTATGACCTCTGAAGACAATTCAAAAAAATGACAATTTCTCAAAAGCTTCTGATTATGGCTTTATCACCGAAGTGCAGAACTTCCTAATTTTCTCTTTTGAAAGAAAACAATTTGTATATGTACATTCTACCGATTTTTTAAAAAAAACAAACATTATTTTGAGGTCATTGATCACACACTGAGTTAGTATTTCATTTTATGAGATTTTAAAGCTTAAATTTGAATTATTCAAACTAAAATATGTGAACCGTTATGAAGTTAATTTGTGAATATTTACAATCTGGGAATCCAGTGAGATTTTCTTTGATTTAGCATGTATTATTTTGAAACTTTATATATGATAAGTGCAGGGCTGGCTGTACTTCAGCTTAGCCAAGAGAGTACAGTAGCATGTGATTAATGTCTAATTTGCAGATAAGGGAGTATGAGCAGGTCATCATTGAAGATCGTATAGAAAAGGAGAAGACCCGAAGAAGATACAACAGGATGACTTGGAACTTAAGAGCATCATAAAGGTAGAAAACTGTAATTAGCATCTTGTGATCCCGCCATTTGCCACAGCTGGCCTAACACCAGGGAGCACAAAGCATTTCTCATTATCAAATCCATGGGTGTATCATGGAACAGATCTGTGAGGAAGCAAGGCCTTTGTTCTTACTGGAATTTACCAACAACCCACAGTGCAGGAGGATAGTTGACACAGTAAAAGACATTCTCAGCTCTTAATCTGGGGAAAAGAGATGATGAGCAGTGGAAGCAAAACTAGGTCCACAGGTCAAATTTGAGAATGTAACTAACTTCTAACCCAAACCAGCTTTTGGCGGATTCTTTTGACTGTCCTACTGCTTCTTAAAGTGCTGTTTATAAATCAGCCCAGACTAATCTGATACATTCTGATACAGGCTGCTGTCAACAAAGGTTGGAAGGATAAGCAGCAGGTCAGAAAAAGAGCTTGTTTTAGTTTTATCTAATCTTCCAGGTTACAGATTGTGGGAAAACTATAATGTAGAAATACTGTCAGCTTGAAACTGTCTGGAAGATCACTCCTTTCTGAAAAAGGAACATCTGCTGAGACCCCAAGGGACAAACTGTAGCTTGGATTGTTGTTAGGGGGTGGACTGAGAAGGATTGGCCCTGGGCCCTCGTGCATGCTAGCCAAGTGCTCTACCCATTGAGGCACATCCTCAGCTCTCAAAGGAAGCTTATTTATTTTTTTTTTGTGATGGGTTTTTTTCGAGATATGGTCTTAAGAACTATTTGCCTGGGGCTGGCTTCAAACTGTGATCCTCCTGATCTCTGCCTCCTGAGTAGCTAGGATTACAGGGGTGAGCCACCAGCACCCAGCCCAAAAAAAGCTTTAAAGTACTTTCAGGACCAGGTATCCAAACCTAACTTGGAGCTGTCCATTATAAGACAGTCAGATATGTAACTAGCAAGTGTCTTATCAAGCTTCTATGTTATTTCCATTTGTCAAGTTTCTTGATTTTGGGCAAAATATGTAAGAACTAGCTGAAAACTAATTTTGTTTTCACTAGTGGATTTGCTCCCAGTCACTAGGGTTTAGTCTGATTTTAAAGTTACCTAGACTGAATTCAGAACAGCTGTATCTAATGACAAGGACATTCAAGGGAGCTGTGTGACTCTTTTTTTTGAAGAGAACTGACCTTTTAACCAATTCATAAAGCTATGAAATGTACTAGGAAACCTATCAAAGTAATGTAGACTTATTCGTGCATTTTGGACTGAGTCCAGGTTAACTAACATTCCCTTTGATCGAATGCTTGTTAGGGTGTGGGAACTTAGATGTTTATAAAGAAAAGTGGTTCAAGGAAGTCAGGATTCTAAGTGCGAAGGAAAAATTGACCCAATCAGATTTATTTCTGTTGCTTGAGAACTTCACTGGAGTCCATGGCTTAAACCAGGGGTCCTGCACAATGGGGTAAGGGGCATCACTGTTTTGACAGTGGCCTACTTCCTTGTCTCAGATACACAGTTACTGTGCTAAACAATTTTCCTTTCTGTGCAAAGAATACAGTGCATCAGTTGCACACTGTAAGTTGCACTCACACCCTCCTCTGTTCCAGCTCCAGGCCTGGTGGCGAGGCACAGTGATACGAAGGAAATTGGAAGTTTCAAAATGCCTAAGAAAGAGAAAGATGATACCAAGGATTCAAAAGGTAAAGGCAAGGACAAGGAGAAACGGAGAGGCAAAAAGTGACCAATTACCTTTTGTCCTTTCCTCTGTTATTCTGGAGAAGGGAAGGAAAACTCGAGAGAATAAGAAACATCTTGTACCATTACAGATAACTACAGATTATTTGGACACTACCAGGTGAAGCCTGGGGATTTCACTTTGCCTGTTTTATGTTTTCAAACCCTGAATTAGGATTATACCATCAATTTAGCGATTCTTCGTATTTTGAATTTTGCTTAGTTGTTTTTAGTAACATTGTGAAGATTCCTATTGCCTTTTTTTTTTTTTAATCAGAAAAGGAAGTTCTTTGGCTTGGTTATAGTAATGTATTAAAATTTCAGTAATTACTTGTAATCTCATTTTATCTAACTCAACCAACATGACTCTTATGAATAAAAGTATTTAGTAGGAATTACAAGATGTTTATGAAGTTATGTAGCATAATATATACTTAGTAAAGTTTTAATAAATGTTTCTTGCCTTTTAGATCCATTATCATTTTAGTGTCTTTATTGGGTTATGGTATGGATACATATCTTATTATAAGCTATTCCTGCAACTTTTCCGGGAAGAGTAGGATTCTATATCCTAAGTACAAGATAGAAGTGGAAAAGAGCATACAATGCCCACCAGTGGCAAAGATGAGGACACAGGTTCACTGAGGACACTGGAAGACTATTTGGATATATTAGTGACAAATGAGACACAACTACTTCCATTTTCTGGGGTATTAAGACTTTAGATATGTGAAAATCACTAACCTGTATCTGGCATATAGTAAAACTGTTTGTCTCTCTTCTCTTAAAAAACAAGCCCACTAGGACATTCTTGCTTCCACTCATCAAAACAGAATGTCTTGGTATGCTAAAGCTTCCTCTAGAGCACAGCTGGTATTTTCTGAGAAAAAAGTGATCCTAGTGTCACACGTATCTCATGAAGCCTTCTATTCAACTCTGCTTACAGGGCAATCTTGCTATCTCTGCTTCATAATAAAGTGATTAATATGATGAAAATATAGTAAGATTAGTTTCCATTGGTGTTCCTTTAGAAAACTAGATACCCTTTCCTTGATTCACCTTTGCCAAGGAAACCATGACATTTTCAAATGTTTATTACATGCTACTGAAGTTATTTGCTTTTATTTTAATGTCATGTCAGGTGGCATACAGGCAATTCAAAATAACATACATGATATTGACATATTTATAGTTAGAACTTATATTTACAGACATACAGTATAGGACAATGTTTTACAAAATCTTTTACTAATTACATGTTCACAACATTTCCAGAAGCAAAAGGAAATCTGCTGTAAACCTCTGCAACATGTATGTAAAAAGCTTCTTAATATCCATGTTTTCCTTCATTTCTGTAACCATTTGAGCACTTAGTTCTGAAAAACTCATCAGACTCATCAGCACAGGCACACATCATTAGTCACTGCTGACTATAGAGAGAAATTAGAGACTCCTTGACTAGGTGGAAGGGTGTATTTAAAAAGCTATTAAGGAAAGTGACCTAGTACTAAGCTTTTTCCTCGTCTGTGTTCTAGACAGATGCAAAATCCTCTCCTCCCATGAGCGGTTTCCAGACTTGCTTATTACAAGAGAATACTGGCTTGAAGTGCTAAGGAGACAGATTTGAAAGCCTGGAAACTGCTGATATAAGTCTGTAGGTGGCAGGGGCCACACCCAGTGGATGGGCACTTAGCCAGATCACACTTTGATCTGGCTTCAGGTCAAGGGCAACTGAGACAAGGTCATCTTCATCATATATTGGGAGTCTACAAAGCTAAATGTCAAACCGAATTGCTCTTTCCAGTTTTTTAAAAAAAAGATAACATGAAACACTGAATATAAAAATTCTCCAACAAATCATGTTATATGCTGACATAGAAAAAAATCAACACATATGGTAATTTTCATTCACTATCATCAACCAAAATTGTACACAAAATTTTTCCAACAATTCAATTACAAATTTGAACTAGTTTGATAAAAAATACATTGTTTCATATTATGCACAATTTTGAAATAAGTTGAAATTTCCACTTATTCCTATGGAAAAATTAGTTGCAGATATTCTCGGTGTTGCATTATGTCGTATGTTCTGAATGATTTCCTCACATAATATATTAAAATCTGTAATAGAGATTGCACCAAGGTTGAATATTGACTAGAAGGACAATACCTATAGTTCAGAAATATGCACAGCTAAATCCTAAGCAAGTTATATGGCTGATAGGTCTGTTTGTTTGGAATTGTAAGTATAATGAGGTCTGGCTCTAGAATTTGTAAGACATTTTACTTTTGCTAGTGAAGACCCCGAAGGATTGGGCTTTGGGCCTGGATGTTGTGCTATGTAATTTTAAACTTGGACAAAGTGGTAATGTTCTAATGTACATGTTTCTCTGCAGGAAGAAGGAGAAAGCGTTATTTTGACCAGGTGCTCAAAATGACTTTTGTCCAAAGCTACTTTTAGATGCTGCATTTACATGGTAAAAAGAGGATGACATTATGCTGAAATGCATGCATTGGTAAAGAAAATCAGAACAGTTAACTATAGGAGAAAAAAAAAAACCATCAAAACCCAACTATATAACTAGTATCTCACTCTTATTTGGTTTACAAAGACAGTGAAAATCAAAAGATATCACTGACAACTAAAAAAGGTTCATAATTTGGGGAAGACAATCTCATATGGTTTAAACTTGAATAGACTCCTGGCTTTGTGTTGTGTAAGCCCTTGGCCCTTTTTCTCCACCCACAACTGGATACATAAGGCACTAGTGGTGGAGCTCTATGAGGGGCTGTTCTTAAGAAGCTGTAAAAGCTTTCATCTACCCATGGAAACTGTCAGTTAGTTACCTGAAAGAAATATGAGAAACCTGGCTTTTCTTTCAATCCCTTTTGCTTCGTTTTCATAATCTTCCACTGGTCAGGGAACTGGAAGTGTCTCTGCTGTGACTGGAATGTGTTTTCAGGTCCAGGTGTCCTGAGAGCAGCCTGGGGGGGGGACGAGGGTGCCTCACTGAGGTGCATGCAAATGGTGCAGCATAGTGCATATTACAGCTTATGGACCCGGAGCCTGTGTGTAGAGTGCTTGTTTACGTTTAGATAATAGCAGGATACCACAGAACTGTCCTCTACAAAAGCCTAGAACACAGACTTTAAGTACAACTGTATCGCTTTCTCTATTTTGCTATGCAAAGCCCTCGCCTTCTATATTTTTGTTTTCCCTTTGACAGAACAGTCCAAGTAATTGTAATAGAGCTTTTCATTTTCAGTGTGGCTGAAAAAAATGCAGCAAGGACAGTACTCTTTCAAATTACACAAATGTCTGGCTTGGAACAGTGGTCTCCACTACCTGAAAAACACTGGGATACAGGTGAAAATGCAGATTCCCAGGCCCCACCCCAGACCTACTGAATACAAATTTGTCTTTTTACAAATGTTCCAGGAGAGTCCAAAGCATAACTGTTTAGAAATCAGTGAACCTGATGTCTTGGTAAAGATAACAGCACATCAGTGTCTCTAAGAGGGAAGGTATTCGTTCTGTCGTGTAAACTAAGCCTACTCTCTAAAAAGCACAGACAGTTGAGGCTTCGGTGCTGGATTCTCAGTAATGAGAAGTTTCAGTTGAGAAATCCAACCATGTCTTCATAAAAAAATTCAATGGAAATGGATTTAACCTCCCCTAAAATGGAGAAATGAAGCAAAACATTCCTGGTAGGAATCGTGGAAACAGTCCCATCTAAGAACACATAAGAGCTTTGTTTGAGCAAATGGCTGGCAGCAGCATCGAGTTGTCCTGCTCCTTGTTTTGGCCAGGTTATGCCCAAGGTTGGTGCTGCTGCTGCTGTTTGGGTGGGGCAAGTTCCATTAGAGCCTGGACCGTCACTGCAACCTGGCTCAAACCTTTCTCTTCTAAAATGTGGAGAGGCAAACATAATTGCTCCTGAAATGGGACAACGTAACATAAAAACAAACAAAAGAGAAAACAGGGATGAACATCACAGAATTGAAAACGAAAAATAAGCACCGCCCCTCCCTCCCTCTCATAATAATCCAGTGAGATATGAAAAAGCCAGACCTGGGAAACTGACCTCTGTTAATTCAAGTTAGAGATGGTGTCTGACATTCACTGTCACTTTATTAACACAATTAAAAGAACATACAGATCATTTTGAAAATTGCAAGATTGACAAGTAGCATACATTTATATAAACAATAGAGGAGGAACAGAATACTGTGGAGTGAAAGCAACATCTTTTACCTCTGGCAAATCAAAGACCAAGGCAGGTTTATAAAACAGGCAGTGAAAAATAGGAAAACAATTTCAACTTACCAGATGGCTCATCTAAAAGAACATTTTAGGAGAAAGCTCTGGAAATCACACAACACGGGAAGACAAGATGGCTTCATGACATAACTCAGATTGCATGAAAGGGGAAGCCTGATATGCATGACAATCCCGATTTTGCCATACAAGCAGGGAAAGGGGGAAGGGAATCGGGTACCCTGAGCTCTTGAGATTCAGACATACTTGAGAAACTTTCCCTTGATTTGGGCAGTTCATGAAAGGACCAATCTGAATTAATTAAAAATCCAAATTACAAAATTTAAAAGAAATTTTATTTGAAAAAGTAAAATATTTCATACCCTAGAATTTAATGGATTAAACTACAGAACTATTATGTGTGCTTAGTTAGTATCTTCATTTCCACCCAAAGTGTTTACAGCTTGCTTAGGGAAGTTGAATATCTCTATCTTGTTTGCCTCATTAACTGGTTTGGTTGATCCTTTCTTGTAAGAGAAAAAGGCAAATCTTAAGTAGAACACTTATTACTCATTGGCTTCTCTTTGTGTGTGTGTGTGCATGCGTGCACATGCACTACACAGCAAACCCAGGGTCTTGTATAAACCTGGCAAATAGTTTACCATTGAATCATATCCCCTGTTGTTTTTTGTTTTGAGATAGAGTCTAACTGTGTAGCCTAGGCTAGCCTTGAACTCATGATGCTCCTGCTGCAGCCTCCCCAGTCCTGGGATTATAAGGATGTACCACCTTGCCTGGAATTCACTGGTTTTTCTGGTAAGACTGAAAATTCAGTAGAAAAGTGAGATCGCTGGTGGAATGGTTCAAGTGGTAGAGTGCCAAGTGTGAGCCCCGAGTTCAAACCCCACTACTGTAAAAAAAAAAAAAAAAGGCTCAGAAAGTAGAATTCTGGTTCCATTAAAAAACAGAGTATAGACATTTAGTAAAGAAAGTAACTAGTTTTTCTCTGCTTTTTACTGGTACTCACTATATTACTAGGAAGTTTTATAAAACCAGTTGTAATAAAAATATAGCAAGTATTTGATTTTTTTTCTTTGTTTTTTATTAAGTCTTTGTTTTTGAGGTGGTTATTGGTACTTGTGCTTAATTACTTTCTTTTTATTTAATTTTTTTTGATAAAAAAAGGTAACTGCAATTTTCTGAACTAATAAAACTAGCAACTGTGGCTCAATACTTTTGACTACAACTGCAACTAAAAATTAACTATGTTTTATAGTGAATCTGTATGGTGTTTTGCTCTAAAAGAGACGTATTTTCTCCAGGACCAATTCCCTGCTCTCTTCTGGGCAGTACCTAGCACTTAGTGGTTTACTCAGTGGCTCAGTGGTCTAGACATTCCTGAAAGACTGATGCCTTTCACACGCACATCTTCCTTCCAGCTGGGTTAGAGCAAGTGTGTGTGTTTTAAAAGAATGCACACCTACTACCCTAAACCACATATGAGACTGTGTGTGCACATATTTTTAAAGGGACAAAGCTGACAATCACTGACTCTAATACATCTTAAAGATAAAACAAAAACCCCCAAATTCTGGAAGGCACTTCTATATAAAACTGAAGTTTTTATCACAGTGTTCAGTGTTTGAGAATTAACAGCAAATAGTCTTTAAATATGTTAAGTAAGTATTCTATTTGATATGGAAGAAAATAAAACCATCAGATGGTCCGGTCAGGCTGAATTCTACAACAGGACATTATGTTCTTCATAATCTCCCTTCATACTTGAGTTCTGTTGACCAATTTTGTTAACAGAGTTCAGAAGATTGCTGAATGTTCAGAAACACCACTTGGGAGAACTGGAGTTTGAATGAAATTATAATGGAATTTTAAGTAGTAAGGTCCAGCAGTAATATAACAAGCATTCTGGAAGAGACAGACAATATTCATTGCCTTGGGAACAGAACAGACTGCCCAATACTTTACTTGCTACTGTTCAGATATAATCACCTCAACAGCCTATAAAATACACCTATAAACATGGTTCAAATAGATTAGAAATTACATAAATTCCAACTGTACATTCTAAGTAGGATTCTAGAAGTGAATCTCAGTTACAGATAACCAACATAGTAAATCCTGAAAAGGTAAGTGCCAGGTCATTTGGTTAGTATACTATTTTATATGTACATAGGCTCAGAATAGCAATCTAGGGAACCTACATGATCTTGAAACTGAATATTCTGACTAAACTAAAATTAGTAAGATTAAATGGCCTGTGCCTTTCAAATGTCCAGGCTTTAAATCCTGAGATGGATCTGTGCCTACTGACTAAGGCTGAGTTCAGAATTTCAGGGCAGAGACTTAAGTGACAAGGTGTCCCCGGACCAGAAAGGGTATCACTGTTTTCCTTATGAGCAGCTCTTAAAAAGGTTTAGTAGCTCACAATGTCAACACTTTTGTTGTATTAAGGGATGGAAAATGACTAGGTGGGGGTTATTGTATCTTTTGGAAATAAAGTTGTACAGGTCACATTCTAAGATCAGGCTCAGGATGACATAAAGAAATAAGCATTTATACATGACCATGAGAACAAGGTCCCAGACAGGAGGATGGATAAATTAACAGGAGAAAAAATGCTGGTCTTTTACTCTCTGTTAGCCACCATTAATGCTTGCTTATGTGACAGGCTGCTCCTCTGGACATGTGAGGAAAGATTTCTGTACTATGGTTTGCTCTTTGATGGTAGGGATGGAGGAAGCCATGTAAATAATTCTGCATGAGAAACAAACCTCCTTTACCAAGCACAGGAATAAGGTGGAAAATCACTGGAATGCAGTATTTCTGCTAGTGGGGGAATATCCAGTAATAAAGCACACAGAGAGTTAACATTAAAGTACAGTAAAATGCCACAAAACCCAGAAGTTGGACAGATAGAGAAACAAAACTGGATTCTTCTGTATCTGCCCCGAGAGAAAGTAGTGTTTCAACAGTTCTCTTAACGCTGAGGTTTAGCTGAAGGATGTCGGAAGGGGAACAAAGATTGTCCTGTCCAAAGTGTGAGCAGGAAAGGAAAACAGAAAAACAAAGTCAGTGGTTCAGAAATGCAGATTTGAGTATAGAATTCAGTATATCTCAATCACACTTAAAAGATACATATCCTGTAACATTTTTCTTATGATGAATAAAAAGTGACAAAACCCCAAAACTACACAGAATCTTCTATGTACAAAGACTGCTTTTACCTCTAGGAATAAAATTTGATCGATTAGCACAGTGTGAACACTAAGCATACAATGAATGGAGCTGGATTCTGGCTTAAGAGTTATGTGAGGCAAGTGTGGGGGTTTGAGGGAGGCCACCTTCCTCTCAACCCTCATTTTTCCTTATTAGTCAAGAAAGCAAGGACATACACTGGGGTGGACTGAGGAGGGAGAAAGTTTTCATGGGAAACCAGGTAAATGAAGAGCCCCAAAGAATGAGGAAAGCTTAATAATTGAGAAATTTACTACCTAGAGGCCAAATGGACTAAATGATTTGGTGTTCCTCAGATTTTTAAATCAGATCAAGTCCATTTTAACCAAGTCTAGTTCACAACTATGTACACATGAATGTAGAGCTGTAAGGGGCTTCAGAGATCGTCTAAAACCTCCATTTCACATATTAAGAAATAACTAAGTAAATAACTGGACTTGAAAACCAGAATATATTAACACATAACATATAATTACTCTAGACGTAAGAAACTGGACTCGAATGCAAGTTTTTATTGTCCATTGTTGTTTTTTCAATTGAACATGCGTAATAAAAGCCTAACAATAAAAGTGAACACCTAGATACTCATCCTCACCAGAGGTTTTTAGCTATCTTACTCTAACGTTTTCTTCACATTTGAACTCGTACATTAGTAGTTGTACTGAGAAGGCAAATCATTTGCTATCACACATACTACCTGGGCACAGAATCTGACAGATAGTTAATGCTATTAAGTTTCCTATCTTACATTTTCAAAAGCAGTCATGATCACATCCCCACTTTTTAAGTTAAACAGATCAAGTGTGGATGCTTAGGTAAAGGGCAGGATGCCCATAAGTCGGGGAGAACAAAGGAGCAGGGTTCTTTCTTCCTGTGGTAGAATGTCCTGAAAATACTAGCTTGAACTCTACTGGTTTGCATTTATTCATATTCCTTCACTCTGTCTAGACAAATGACTAATTTTCAGCAGAAGTAGCACCATGACAGGAAACATCTAAAACTGGTAGTGGTGGTGGTGGTAGTGACGTGGGTGAAGGGCTGAAGGGAGAAGGAAGAGGTGGTTTGTGTAGACTGTCCATTTCCTCCTTGTACTGGGGAGAGGGAGCGGTAGGAAGGATGCGTCATAAACAAGTCTAACTGCTCTGGAAAAAAACCCCTGGTCTTTTAAAAATGTATTTTTTCTGAGCACAGAAAAAATTGCCTTCGAATGGCACAGCTCTGGACAGAGATGGCTAGCCCATAATAAGTTCTATTAACAGCTGCTTGGAAAATGTTGACTTAAAATGCATGTTTTAAGGTACACTGTTGGTATACTTTGCTGACCCATGGCAGGAACACTCTGAAAGGATTCCAGATTAAGGGCTTTAAATGAGAGGATGATTCTGTAAAGTAAAGTGCAGGCACAATGTTTGTAAAAGTTGGTAAACAGTACGGTTTTTTTTTGGCAGTACTGGGGGTTGAACTCAGGGCCTCTACCACTTGAGTCATGCCCTCAGCCCTTTTTCACTTTAGTTTATTTTTTAGATAGGGTCTCACATGTGATCTTCCTGTCTCTGCCTCCAAAATGACTGGGATTACAGGCACATGTTATCATGTCCAGCCTGTGTTCTGATAGGAGTTTGCTAACTTTTTTACCCAGGATGTCCTGTAACTATAATCCTCCTCCAATTTGTGCCTCCTGTGTAGCTAGAATTACAAGCGTGCAGCAGCATGTCTGGCTGCTACACAGTACTTTTAATAAGTACTGACATAAGCTAAGTCAGCATGTCTTGTTTTTCTATAGTTCCCATTCTCTGTACCAACATACTGCACATTCTCTTTTTCAAAGACACTGTTGTATGGAACCGAGCAGGCATTAGGCATTCTGACCTAAGAAAGGAATTACTGAATGTTAATGTGCACATATAAACATTAGAACTTGCTTGTCGATATGCAGAAAAAAACGCATGCTAGGTCTTTAGAAACAATATCAAATAAATGCTCTCTTAGCATGTTAAAAAAGGGTTTGGTGGGCCTTTATAAAACAATGATACAAAAATTAAAAACTTGTTTTGAACTTGTCCACAAGAATCAAAAAAAAAAAAAAGCCCTTCCATCCTTGTTATCTATCACATTATAGAAGTTTCAGCTCTTTTATAACTCAAGTTAAAACTGGAAAAGGGTAGTATGGTGATCCACTTAATAAAAGCAGAAAACCACGTGAGGGAATTCATGCTGGCTACTGCAGATGGGGAGCTGGGTTCTTTCTCTTCTACTCTATGATGTGAAAGCTGAAAGAGAAGGCTGCTTCCTGGACAAGTGATGCTGTGGCCTACTCAGCTCCTGGTCAGGTAGAGAGAGGTGAAGAGAGTCATTGTGAAAGCTTCTGGAACAAGGGTTAACTTTAAGTGAAACCGTGCTGTTGTTGATGGGCCCATAAGCCAGTCTTGAGTTTTTGACGGCTAGTCAAGAATGTTGTAAGAGTCATGTTTTTCTCCTTGAATATGGGACAAAATATAAGAATTACAGGGGCTTGGTGGTATGGCTTGTGCTGAGGGTATGATAGCATGTGTGCTTAGCATAGCATGCTTGAAACCCTTGGGTTCAATCTTCAGAAACAAAAAGAGAAAAAAATGTATCAAGTAGTTTATTTCTTTAAATTTGTTGCCAGATATTGTGATGCATAACTATAGTCCCAGCACTTGAGAGGCTGAGGTGGGAAGATTGCTTGAGACAGCCTGGACAACATAGTGAGACTGTCCAAAAAAAATCCTGCAATCTTAGCTACTCAGGAGATAGAGATCGTTCAAAGCCAGTCAGGGGAAATAGTTCGTGAGACCCTATCTCAAAAAAACCCTTCACCAAAAAAAGGCTCAAAGGGTACAGCAACTGCCTAGCAGATGTGTGGCTCTGAGTTCAAATCCCAGTACTGCCAAAAAAAAAAAGAGGCAAGTGTTAAAAAACTGAAGCTACTGGGCATGGTGATGCACTTGGGAGGCCGAGGGACTGCCTGGACTACATATGAGACCCTGCCTCAAAAACCAAAAACCAGAAACTGAAGCCAACTGGGACATTTCTTAATCTGAGAAGCACCTGCTTTGTAAGAACAGATTCTGTTGTATGTGTAGTTGTGCTGAAGTCTGTGTTAAGGAAAACAGAATAATTACTTTTCATTGATTACTTATTACAACATAATTATTTAAATTTTTATGTTTACAATTTCTTTGTAAGATCTTTGGGAATAAGGAAAACTTGATCAAAAGGATATTGATTGAATCTTGTAACACAGCATCATGTTAGTAGTGATCAACTTAGTGCAGAGCTAGTCCTAGGAAGATTTTATAGACCTGCATTTCTTACAGATTTAGGATAATAATATCCAAGTCTGTTTAGGCAACACACAATTGACTAAATTTATTACCTGAGGTACACCAATTTTTCTGCAAGCTTCAAGGAAATTCTCCACATTTCGCCTGCATTTGGCCATTGTTAATTTAGGCTGCAATGAACAAATAAAGGAGAGAAACTGTGTTACCAGCAAAGGTTTAAAAAAGGTGCAAACTTTAAAAATACTCTTGCCAGTTGCTTCATATACCCACACCTCTGTCAAATGGGGAGTTAAGACAATGAATGTTACTCTTGGAGTTGTAAGAACCGCTATAACCACTCAGTTTCGTGGGGAGCATGACCGTACCACAGAGAACATGCAAACAAGGAAACGCATCAGTGCTTGCACAGTAAGATCTGATCCACACAGAAGTAAGTGTTGGTCTGTGGGTAACAGTTTGCTACCCCACTACACATTTCATTTTGATTTAGTAAAGTAGGTGCTAAGTAAAGAAATTTAGAGGATTAAATTTTCTTCCATTTTTAAACAATATATACTAAAGGAATTTAGGAAGAACAGCAAGAAAATTCATTATCCACAGCTCACTGCTTAAACATAACCACAATAAACACTTGGTTCATTTCTTTTAATCTATGTTAAAGAAGGTAATTTTTGAAAGTCAAGAGCACTTGTTCTAAATATACTACAGATACATCATGTCTTCACTCACTAGCAACATTAAATTTTTAAAAATATTTTTAAATTTTAAAAAGTAGGTTCAAGAACCTATTTTCCAAGGGCAAATAGTTCCCACAGGAAAAAAATCTCCTTCCTTACTAATTGGTAAGCCCGTTTTCTGTAAAGACCTCTAATGATTAGAAATAGGGAGCCACACCATATGACATGAAGTTTCAGTAAGGTTTTTCACATAGTGGATCATCATGGAACATAATGTGAACCAACCAACCAACCAAACAACAAAAAGAAGGAATCCCATATTCCAGGAATTCACCAGTTGCTTTCCAAAAATGCTCAAGCATCAGGTTTGGAAGCCAAACTTTTTCAGGGACTCTGACATACAGTTCTTTACAACAGTAAGCTGATTATTTTAATCAGCTTACATCTTGGGGTGGGAGGGAGGTTTCATATGTAATATCTGGGTTTTCTTCAAAGACAGAACATAATACTTTGTGACAAGAGGAGGGGAAACAAACTAAATGATAGTGAAAAGAAGCACTACAATTCTGAACTGAGAAAGGCAGCAGGGGCTAAGATTGGTTGTCATAAAATATACAACAGGCAACAAGTGAGATGGAAGGAAAGCAATGATTATTTTCAAATTTCAAATGGAAAAACTTCCAAAAGGGTCCAGAAAGGAAAGGAATTTGGTTTCTATGGAGAGTAATCTTATTCTTTCTTGCCTATAACTGAGGTAAAAAGGTAGGAAAAAAGAAAAGGGAGACATAAATAGCAGAATCAAGATCTATTTAACAGAAGGAGAGAAAAACACCAAGGGTTCACACCCGCTAATTCTTCCTTTTCCACTGTTTACATGTGAAAGAGCTGAAGGAGAAGTTGTTCATTGGGTAAGAGGTATCACAGCCTTCTTGGCTCCTAACTATTGAAGAGGGGGGTAAGGTGAACTGAGGCAAAAGAAAAGCTGGGGGTGGGGAGAGCTACTGGGTGAAGGGCTTAGCTTTCAGAGCAACTGAGCAAATAGAGAAAATACCCGTGTTTTCACTTAGGAAAAAAATTGCTTTTTTTCAAAGGCTTGAAATTCCATACACCAGTTTCCCTTTCTGCCTCATAAAATGGAAGCAAAACCAGTATGAATAGCTTCTCTCCTATGAAGGGAGCAAATCAGGTCAGGATCCTGACCTGAGTTTGGGACAGAAGACTGGGGTTGGATGAAAAGACCCTAGCAGAAGTGGACATGGGCATTTTGACTATAAAAGAAGGAAAATTAACAAGCATCTATGGGAGAGCAGCATGAAGTAGGTCTGACTTCACAGGCAGAAACCTTTGTTTCTGAGCAAAAGAAAGGATAAAATGATACAGTTCATGTTATTAAGTGAAAACCTGGTTCAAAGATTCACTACCACTTTATGTGAGAGAGAGAGAGAAGGCAGTTTAGTACTCAGCATTATCTATATAAGGACTACTAGCAATCTAAAATCTAAAAGGTGTGGGGAGGTGGGGTAGAGTAGAAAGTTTTCTGAAATGTCCCCAGCAGAGTAGATTTCTGATTGATGCTAGGTAAAAGGAGAGGTGGACTATCTCTCTCCCTGTCATTCCTTTCTCCTTTTTCTCAGGATTTGTCACATCCCAGGGATATAGGCCAGTGTTTCATAACTGTGATACAACTCTGTTATATACTGATAAAAGTGTGTATCTACTCTTTAGAAAAATACACATGTATACACTTTTAGGTGTAGCTCAGTGGGAGAGTACTTGCCTTGTATGTGCAAGGAACATAGGTTCAATCCCCAGCACCTCGTAAGAAGAAGAAAGTAAAAAGAGAAGAAGCCACCATTTGTCATTTAGCAGCTAGATTCATCATTCTAAATTGTGATTATAGTCACAGTATTCTCTTCCTTAAATTCTTTCAGTGTTTCCCAACTATCTATAGTAAGATAAACTTCTAACTCCCTGACATGGTTCATAGGGACTTTGAAACACGGCCCCTAGCTCACCTCTCTAGCTGTACCCCTGCCATTTGTACCCTGATCCTGTATATGATTCACTCTAAGCAACTTAAAAACTCCTTGAATATGCCATGGCTTTCCTGAGGGTTTTTCTTTTTGGTGGTGGTGGTACTTGTGGATGCTAAGAAAGTGTCTTACTAATGAACTATACTCCTAGCTCCCTTCCATAGCTTTTTTTTTTTTTTTTCAGTACTAGGGTTTGAATTCAGGGCCCAAGCACTCGACCATTTAAGCCACACCTCTGGCCCTTTTTGCTTTTTAGAGTATATTTCAGCTAGCATCTCACTTTTTTTTTTTTTAAATAGATGGGATGACAGGTATACGCCACCACCCACAGCTTGTTCGTTGAGATGGAATCTAGCTAATTTTTTGCCCAGGATGGCATCATACCTCAATTTTCCCTATCTCTATCTCGTGAATAGCTGAGATTACAGGCATGATCCTCTGTGCTAGGTCCCTTTTCTCACTATGTAGCCTAGGCTGGTGTGCTCCATCAAGCTTGGCTCTTCCTTAGCTTTTTTTGTTTGTTTTTAATAGTACTGGGGTTTGAACTCAGTGCCTCAGCTTGCTAGGCCTTCCTTCGCTTTTGAGCCTAGGAATACTATGCCTAGAATGCTTTCCTCTTTGTTTACTGCTCGCAAATTCCTACTCAGACTTCAAGAATTAGTTCAAATTTCACCTCCACTAAGAAGGTTTCTTTGAACTCTCCAGGCAGTTAACTGGTCCCATTTCTGTTTCTCATAGTACATTTCTTACACATCTTTCCTATAAAATTTACCACACTGCTGTAAGTGATTGTTTACATATCTTTTTTCTCTAGAAGTGAGACCAAGAACACAGGGGACTGACCCTTTGTATCTGTGTCCTTAACATCCAGCACAATGCCACTGTGTTTAATAAATGTCTGATAAACAGCCATTGCTTTTTAGCATTATATTCTTACCACAGCTGGTGAGGGAACATGAATGCTTGGGACAGATCGAGGTCGCACATGATTGGCCAAATGGCAAAGAACAACGCCATCAGTTAGAGCTGCTCCAAGGTCACAAGGCAGAGACACTTTTAACCGGTACTCAATATGCTGCAAGAACAGGAAAACATGTAACACTAACTGAAGAGTAATTAACACACAGGATATAATAGAGTTATACTGGAGTATAGTTAATTAGAAATCCTGAAAAGAAATAAAAATTACCACAATGCCAATTTATCCTTCTATTTCAAATCAATAACCCAGGGGATCCAATAGGTATGTAGGGCATCCAGGCCACAGTGGTACAAAGTACAACAGAAATTCATACACTTTTACTGATTAAAAAAAAAAAAAACCTGAATTCTTTCAATGTCAAAATAAAATAGCCAATATATGTGTGTGATACATACATTTTGTAATATGCACACACATATATACATATATGTATACATGCATATAATTTTCTTTTTTCTTGAGCTCAGGCTCGCCTCAAAATCAAAATTCTCCTGCCTCAGCCTCCCAAGAACTATGCTTACAGGCTTAAACTCCCAAACCCAGAGCATATAAATTATTATGCTTACAAGATTTTTTTTTAACATGAAGAAGAGAAATGGAAACATTTTTAAATGATCAGGGCTAGGAATTAAGCTTTTAGAATAACCCAGCTCATTTTCTTAGCAAAATGTTGAAAGGAAGCCAGGTGCTGGTGGCTCAAGCCTATAATTAATTCTAGCTGTCTGGGAGGCTGAGACTGGGAGGACTGTGGTTCAAGGCCAGCCCAGGCAAATAGTTCAGGAGACTCCCCCCATCTCCAAATGAACCAGAGCAAAATGGACTGGAGGCGTGGCTCAAGGTTAGAGTGCCTGCCAAATGCAAAGTCCTGAGTTCAAACCCCAGTCCCACCTTAAAAAAAAAAGTTAAGAATGAACTCAGTGGCTATACCTTGAGCCACTCCACCGGCCCATTTTTGTTATAGGTTTTTTTGAGACAGGGTCTTGAGAACTATTTACCTGAGGCTGGCTTTGAACCTTGATCCTACTGATCTCTGCCTCTTGAGTAGCTATGATTATAGGTGTGACACACCAGCACCTGGCTGGAATTTTCTTAATACCAAAATTTCTTTTATATTTACCACAAAACATAGCATAAAGTGGACACTTACTGATTCTGTAACAATTGTATGTTAAATGAACAAGTGATTACAGGATTATGGACTGTATCAGTGTCACTGAAAAAGTGTAATTCAAAGGTAATATACATACTTTACGTAGTTGATCTATTAATTTCAGCTCTTCTTCTCTCTGTCTTGTTGTGGGATCTGTAGAATCAGTGGTAGGTGCAGCAGCTGGGAGAAGGGGTAAAGGATGACCTAGAAAAATGTAAGATGGAAAGGTGATGCCAGTGCTAGGAAGCACCCAGATCTGTTTGATGACAGTCTCCTTGTAAGTACAGCAATGGACTGACTTTTTAAAAGGGCTTTTATTATAAAGTTCAAATATACACAACAATGGTAGAAAAGTATTAAAAACTAGGAAACTTTCATTATCCATTTGGCTAAACTACTTTTGGTTATAGAAATTAAAAGTTTTTTTTTTTTTTTTTTTCTGGTACTGGGGATTGAACCTAGGGACTTGTGCATGCTGGGTAAACACTAAAACCAATGAGCTATATCCCCAACCCCATTAAAAGTATTTTTACTGAAAAGTCCCATGTGCAGAAATTTACACAAATTATAATTACAGAGCTCAATAAATTAACCTCACAAAGTGAAACAACTAAAGTATATAAATAAAAAATTACCAGTACTCTGAAGCTCCTCTCATGCCCTCTGCCCATCAGTACCCAAAGGTTTCCAGCATCCTAACTTTAAACGCCATGGATTAGTTTTGTCCACTTTTGAACTTCCTATAAATTAAACTGTATTGCCTGTAATCTTTTGTCTGGCTTCTTTTGATCAATATTATGAGATCTATCCACCTTGCTGGATATAGTACTTTATTTTCATTACCTGTGTGGTATTCCTTCATATAGATACACTACTAATCATTTATCCATTCTATTGAAGGAATTCAATTTGACACTCTTATGAATAATGCTGCTATGACTATTTTTGTATATATCTCTTGGTATACATGTGTGCGTATTTCTCAAAGTAAAAGAGCTGGTAATGGGTATACAAATGCTCAACAGTTTATTAAGACAGAGGAAGTGTCCATCTCAAAAGTGGAACAAAGTTCTTTTAATTGAAAGAGCATAAGAGCATTTTATTTGCTCAAACTTTTCTTTTTTGAGACAGGGTCTTGCTATGTAGGCCAGGGTGGCTAGGAACTTGTCTTCATACCTCAACTTCCCAAGTCCTGGGATTATAGGCACAGGGCAAACATGCCTGGCTTTGTTCAAACATTCTAAAATGTGTTTTCAGGCAGTACTAAGAAACTGTCTAATGAAAACAAATTCAAACAAGAAGCTCTAATTTAATGTTGATGAGATTATAGACATCGAAGGGTTAACGCTCTCTTCAAGGTGGTAGAAGAAGTTTAAAAGTTGGTGCAGAAGTTTAAAAGCATGGAACAGTTAATGTAGTTGTGTGAAGCCATCCTCCACCCTACCCCACCTTTTAAAATCACTACCACCTACCTTTATTTGTTTCCGCCCTAACAGCTGCTCGGAAAAGGAAACTTTCAGGGCGGAGGGGCTGATTTCTCTGGATAGCAGCAGGAAAAGAATATTCAGTGGAATGACGAACTGAATCAGCATGGAAAAGCAAAATGAGATTGAAGGAGATGGAAAGCAAATTAAATTCATATAGACATGTCACAAAAGTTATATAAAATAGTGCATAAATAAAAATAACTAAACATGGCAATGATATAAAAGGACAATTTTGTTTACTAATGGAAAATTCTGCCACAGAAGAGTGATCCTGAAACCAGGGAGGCTGCTGGTATCTGTTTTTAAGTTTTTATGTTATTTTTGGTAAAACAATAAATGCAGAAAAATGCTAACTTTCTGTCCGATTTCCATCTCAGAAAAAGAAGTCATCTTCTCAGATAAAACTGATTAAGAAATCCCAGCTAGGTGTGGGGGCTCACACCTGTAATCCTAGCTACTTGGAAGGCAGAGATTGGGAGGATCATGATTTGAGGATAGTCCTGGCAAAAAGTTCAGGAAATCCCATCTCAACAAAAAAAAAGTTGGGAATAGTGGCCCTCACCTATCAAACCAGCTATCTGAAAAGCGTAAATAGGAGGATCATGGACCAGGACAGCCCAGGCATAAATGTAAGACTCTATTCAAAATACATCTAGAGCAAAAAAGGGCTGGGCATGTGTTAAGTGGTAGAGCACCTACCTAGCAAGCACAAGGCCCTGAGTTCAAACCCCAGTACTCCCTCCGGGGGAAAAAATCCCAGTAAAGAATTATAATCTTGCTGGGCATGGTGGTATATGCTGTAATCATAGCACTTAAGAGGTTAAAGCAGAAAGATCATGAATTCAAGGCCAGCCTAAGTACACACTGAGATCCTGTCTACAAAAAAAAATTTGTAATCTTGATACATTTAATAGCACTTCTGGGTCTATTACCTGTTTCTGTCGTAGGTAAACTTGATGTGGCATTAGATCTGTCATCACTCTGTAGAGAAACAAATATACCAACAATTATATTATCTGAAGAGGTATTTTGACATTTAAGATAACTTTGGGAGTATAGAAGAAAAAAATCCACAAAATTCTCCTTCAAATTTAAGTTTAGAAATGAAAATCTGATGGAATTAATATTGTACTTAAGACAAAGACAGAACTTTTTACATTCTTGTGTGTGTGTAGTGCACCAACAGTCTCATCATCTAACAGGTCTTTCTGAAGACTGAAAAATGATCATCCTAAGGTCAAAATTTTTACCAGGAAATACACAGGAAAGAGAGCAAACTTTCTTTTCTTTTTCCTTTTATGGGTGGTTCTGGGGTTGAACTCAGAACATTGCACACTGCTTCAGTCACACCTCTATCTCAAAATTTATTGTCTAATAGCATTTGTCTAGAGTATTTTTTTCCTCTGGACAGTAATAATCTTCAAGGAAAGAATAATGTACATTTCTTCATTTCAGCTAGAGAAAATGTATTTAAGAGATGACAGATGAGGACTAGGGATATAGCTCAGTGACAGAGAGTTCATCTAGATTGTACAACATGATAAACACAATCCCCACCACCACAATTTAAAAAAAAAGTCCAACACAGGTATAATCCTAGCTACTTGTGAGGTGAGACTGGGAGGATGAAGGTTCAAGGCCAGCCCAGGCAAAGAGTTTGCAAGAACCCCATCTCTAAAAAATAATCAGTATAAAATGGACTTGGAGATATGGCTCAAAGAGGGAGAGCCCCTGCTTTGTAAGTACAAAGCCTTGAGTTCAAACCCCAGTCCCCCCCCAAAAAAACCCCAAAACAACAAAAAACAGATGATATATTACAGTCCAAGATGTTTTCAACTCATTGCTCAAAAGAGCAAAGAACTAGCTAAACTAATATTAACTCTACCTACATAAATGAAAATGTGGTTAAGCTAATTTAAAAAGAAATGTTTGTTGGCTGGGTGAACAACATCAACAAGTTTTCAGGTCTTGGTATCCAATAAAATTTAAGTGTAACTTTTATGACATGACAATTAAAATATATTCATCTCTTCTGATGTTTCTCCCTCCTTTGGATTTAACATTTTGAGAAATCTCACATCTCTAGTTGAAGTTGGAGCAGATGACATTAATGAAAATAGAATTTTAACTGCTAAAAAATAAAGCACACTGTTGAGAATAGTGATTATTTTCTGGTAATGATTCCTTAATTTGATACTCATGGGCTGAGGATTAAGATTTAAAATGTAAGCAAAATAACAAAATTAATTTTGTTCTCTTTCTTGTATATTTCCTGGTAAAAACTTTTGCCTTAGGATGCATTAGGATGAGTAAAACAGTGATTACACTTTCAGTGAAAAAGTCATGTTCATTAAGACTATAGAGGCATCTAAGTTTTGGGTGCTGAGAAAAAAAGAAAAGCACATTTAAATAAATTTTAGACAAGCATACCAGGAACTAGTAAAGGGAATCAACACGTAAATGAGGCAAAAGCTTGGTATCATGAGAACTGAACAAAAGGCTATCTTTATTTTCAGAGCATATGAGATAGGGAGGAGCAAGTTAAGTGAAGACATGTTCAAAGACCAATGGTAAAAACAGAAAAACATTACAGATAGATTATTCAAGATATGGAGAAAAATACTTAAAAAATGAAAAAGACTTGTTTATAGACCAACTAGAAATCTAAGCATATTGAGGAATAAAAGGAGAAAATTAATAGACAAGTTTATTAGATGAGAAGGAAGAGATGAAACCAAGGCACCAAATGTTCTCCAACTCCAGAAACAGCCAGACTCCGCAACACAAAACAAAGCCATAATGGAAAGGACTTGCAAAACGATGACTTTTCAAATGTACTTTTTGAAACTACACATATAAGTGACTTGCACTCTAGGATACTAAAATAATTAGTTGAAATCATTCGGGAACTCTTGGAGAGCAGTACAGCAAACAACTTCATGACGTAATCTCAGAAACTGGTGTGACTCAACATTTTTTTTTTTTTTTTTTTTTGCAATACTGGGGTTTGAACTCAGGGCTACACCTTGAGCCACTCCACCAGCCCTTTTTTGTGATGAGTTTTTTCGAGATTAGGGTCTCACAAACTATTTCTCTGGGCTGTCTTCAAATCACAATCCTCCGGATCTCTGCTTCCTGAGTAGCTAGGATTACAGATGTGAGCCACCTGCACTGTGAACTCAACTTTTAAGCCTGGCCTAGCAACAAAAGAAACAAAACTATGCCTAAATACAGTGTATTGCTGCTGTGAAAGTAAAAATCGAGAATAAATCTTTTGAAACAAATCATTTGAAGTTTAGCAGGTGTGATAGAAGGAAAGTCTGACTTATCACCCATCTTAAGTTCATTTGCAAAATGTTAGATTTAATTTCCTGGGGTAGTCAGTTTGTAGAGAAAATATGGTCAGGATGATTGGCCACATTCACATTTGGCCCTTCTCAACTGACTAGAGAGAATAAGCCCAAGGCCTTACGGTTCCCTTGAGTATAATTAATTTCTCTCTTACACATGGAGAACTATACAAGTTATGGACCTACCTTGACAGAATTTTTAAAAGTCAGTGAAAATCATTTTCTATGTTATCATACAAATAAGAAACCCAACTGAGAAAGGTTGGCAAAAGATTAACATGGAAGAGAATTATACAGTTTTCTCAGGAGTCAGCAAGGTCCATTAATAGCTTCAGTAGGACCAGGGAGCTGGCTCATCAGGTTTGCAGATGTTATGAAGTCAGCATTAGAGGGGCATGATGCAAGAATTTTAAAGTATCCTAGCAAATTAGAGAAGTACAAATGTTCAAATAGCAAAATTAAATATTCAGGGGAAAAAGACACAAGATATATAAATTGTCATTTAGGAACAGACCACATTGAGAACTATAGTAGATACTGAGCAAAATGAACACCAAAAACTGAAAAAGCCAAACTAAAGCTCAAATGAGACATATCAAAAACCTGGTTCCAAGCTCTATGCCAGGCAGGCCCTAAAGGCAGTGAGGAGCACAAATGAAAGCCAGAGAACTTGTGAACACTCACTAAGGGCAAATAGTTTGGAAAAGGCATGTGAAGGACCTGAGTTTATTTAGGGAGAAGTCAAAGGTGCTATCATAATTTTTCAAATATAAAGATTCTTACATAAAGATTGCTAAGTAACTAGAAAGAAAAGAAGAAATCACTGTAAACTACTGCAGGGCAAATAGAAGTTTGAGAAAGAGAGGACCTTCTTGACAGTGAGCATATTAATCTATCGTCTCTCATGACGTTATTGTTGATATAAAACAGGGGTTGGCAATTTTTAGGCTTGCAGATCATTACAGTATCTGTTACCACCATCCCAACTCTGCTGTTTACCAAAAAACTGGCAATAGATAATACATAAAAAATCTCCAAAGGAGATTGGCAGTATACCAAAAAAACTTTGTTTATAAAAACAGGGGGCCTAGGGACCATAGTTGGCTGGCTTACTATAAAGAGTTTTGGCAGTGATAGTTATGCAGACTGGTAATCAAATTATTTTGCATGCAAATTAGATATCAGAGTTAATTTGATATTACCTATTAACCATACTAAAATAATTCATGATAAAAAATAGCCTTTGATATGAAATCAGAATGACATTTCAAACAGAATCTGAATATGAAGGATTACTTCAGGCTCTATGACTATCTTAGGGATGATAAAGCTTCCAAAACTATTTCAAGTGAACTCAAGGTAAAACTCAAATAGTTTCATTATCTATATTTTATTTTTTGGTGGCACTGGTGTTTGAACTCAGGGCCTCATGCCTACTAGGCAGGCACTCTACCATTTGAGCTGCTCTACCAGCCCTTCAAATAGTTTCATAAGCTTAGGTATACAGTTCATGCAATTCAAGATGCCAGACTGCAGTTAAACCAATCCATGGAAAAATTTAAGACCTACCTGTACACTTCCTCCCCAAATTTCCTGGTGAATTACTGTAATAAGAGATACCTTAAGAGGTGTGAAGGCAGAAGAATGAGGCAGGGTAGCAGCGTAGCCCACTTGATTCAACCCAGACAGCGACTATATTTCAAAAGAGGAAGGGAAGAAACAGAAGGCAGCATTTATATTAGCAAAATGTCAGGCAGGCAGATTTGATCAGTGACATTAGAAAAAGAAAGGTTATTGATAAACTTCCAAACGGTTTACCCAGACAGTAATAGGGCCAAAAGAGAATATTTGGGGGAAAAAAATTCTATTATAGCTTTTCCAACAGTATAACTCAGGATATTTGTAATACACATACCACATTAAGGAGGAATTAAAAGGCATGATTTAATAAAAATGATTTTATGAAGAAATAAAACTGAGAACATCAACATTTTTAGCAAAATAGCTGTGAAAATTATGAGTCCTCTGCTATTCCTGTGACAAGGGAAATAAATCCAGTCAAAGACCTCATTTTGATCAGAACTGGCAAGAATGAGAACCATGTTTTTTCACAATTAATCCAAATGGGATTTATTATAATTCAATTTAATGCCTCTAATGTGAGAAGACAGGAAATGAAGATAATGTGTCACATCTTACAGCTGAATTAGCACTTCATTTCTGCCTCCATGAAATTCCAAATGACCTAGAAGGCAGAATTTCCCTTTTCTTTGAATCCTTCATCTTTTATCAACCAATATAAAAGTAGTTAGATATACTAGAGATACTGCTAGAATCTACTGTTAAAGATAATTATTATTTGACATTTAAAACTGAAAAAGGCTATCATATAGGATTTTGATGACAAGTAACTAATGCCCAAAACATGACAATTTTTCCATTTGCCACTTGGAGAGCAGATATCAGAGACAAAGATCTTCACAAAGGGAAGTGGGTAAGATTTTACCTAATAAAATGAACAAAATGCTAAAAAACTTAAGTCTTTATAAATTACTAAAAAATTTAAACTAGGATCACAAATTTCTGAATAATGGGATAATTGAACAAGAACATGTAAACAGTTAGAAAAATGCATATATGGTTAAAATAAATACCGTATATTGGCCAGGCTGGTATGGAAGTCATAGGCTCAAGTGATCCTCCTGCCTCAGTCTCCAAAGTAGTTGGGATAATAGCCATGTCTCACCATACCTAGCTACAACTGTATTTGTGTGTGTGTGTGTGTGGTACTGGGGTTTGAACTCAGGACCTACACCTTGAGCCACTCCACTGGCCCTTGTTGTGACGGTTTTTTCAAGATAGTGTCTCTCGAACTATTTGCCCAGGCTGGCTTTGAACTGTGATCCTCCTGATCTCTGCCTCCTGAGTAGCTAGGATTACAGGTGTAAGCCACTGGTGACCGGCTACAACTATACTGTTAGTGAGAGTAAATATGTAGCAGTATCTTTTTTCTTTGACAGCAAAAAAACATGTAATGTACAATATATTAATGCAAGAAAATGTGTAAGACATAAAAAAATTGTAGCAAGGAATAAGACTGTGACAACAGTAAGACATTGTGTATGCTTTACCTGTTTAGATTTCCTAAGACTCCTTTTAATTAAATTGGAACTACTGTCAATCTCAAATACAAAAAAGCTAACCACCATTATACTGGGAAAGAAGAAAAAAAAAAGTGTGGGGGGGAAGAAAGTAAAATGAGCCTAGATACTCTCACATGAATGGGGGTGTTAACAGAAAGCACCAGGCATTTGAGGTATAGCCCTAAGAGAATGTTAGTGTTACTGACATTAAAAATCATGTAGACTTAACCGATGCACAGTATTTAAATGTTCATTCAGAAAATATCTACTGAGCACCTAATATAACCTAGGGAACTTATGGTGGGGACTGGTTTATAAGGTAAGCATGACAGAGAATATTCTTATGCCCATGTTGCTTATAATTTAGTAGTCTAACTAGGCAAATACTCTACCACTTGATCCATACTTCCAGTCCAGACTAATAGGAGAAAGATATAAAACAATGAACACCCAAATGAAAGTACTCTGAAGAAAAATATAACAGTGAAGACACAAATTTGATTTTAGGATAGGAGGCTACAGAAAAGCCATTTTAAAGCAGATACTTGGTTGATTAATAGGAATCAATCATGCAGTGTTCATACAGATGGAGAGGCATTCCATGCAGAAGGACAGTATTTATAAAGGTACTGAAGTGGGAAATGGCCTGCCATATTTCAAGTGCTGTAAACAATGCTGGTATAGAGTGAGCTGAGAGGTGAGAATGAAGAAGTAGGGAGTAGCCAGAGGACAAAAACTGCCAGGCATCTTACGAGGTTTAGACATTAAAAGCAACCTGAAGCCTTTAAAGAATAGTCTTAAAAAGATCAGAGATATGATTTAAAATATGGCTCTTTTTGCATGATGTTGGTTGTATACTATTTGGTATACAAAGAAATGTAAGATTTGTTTTTAAAGGCTATCTTAATTAGGAGGTCAGACATAAACACCAATAACTAAAGTACAAGTGTATGTGTTTTACACACAAATGGCTGAAGGCTTTTTCAAATATCATGCTAAATGTATTTTGATGTTGTTTTTCTGAATTCAACTTTTCCTTGACAAAAGTCTGGGCACTCAGACTTATACTACTTACAGTATGTGTTACTGAATCTCAGTTTAGTTTCCTAAACTGTTTTTAGTTATAGAATGGAAGGAAATACAGCATGGTATTTATTATAGATCCTTGATCTAGACAGATTATGATTCAAAGTTAGCCTTGCACTTACTAGCTATGTGATCTTGGACAAATCACATCTGAACAAGATATTCTGTGCCTTAGTAATCATTTGGTGACAAATTTAACATTAACCCTTAAGGTTTCTGTGAAAAGTCAATGAGATAACTTGGTAACTGGATCATCAGAGGCCCTCTCTATTTGTGTACATTAATTTAAATGCCTGTAATCCTGGTTATTTGGGAGGCAAAGATCAGAAGGATCACTGTTCAAGGATAGCCAGTGCAAAAGGTTAGGAAGAATACCATTTCAACAAATATGCTAGGAATGGTGGTTCATACCTATAATGCAAGCTAAATAGTGAAGTATGGCTAAGAGGGTCATGGTCTGAGGTCAGTCCCAGGCAAAAATATAACACTATCCCAAAAGTAACTAAAGCAAAAAAAAGGGCTGAGTGTGTGGCTCAAGTGGCAGAACGAGGCCCTGAGTTCAAACCGCAGTACCACCAAAACCCAAAAAAACCCCAAACAACCCCCAACCAAAATAAATCTCTGCTCAGTTAAAATGTGCTTTATCCATCTTAAAAGAAATGTGCAAAATACACAGAAATTTTGACAGACAGTAGAAGTTAGGAAGGAAACTCATCCAATGTACAGAATGGCAGCAATTTTCAGCACATAACACAAGCATTGCCATAGACACTAGACTTTTGAACTGCTAGTTTGCAGTACTAAATAACATAAAACATGATAGGACATGCAATTCTATAAGTAGAATTCTCTTGCAAGTCTGATAACAGTTAAAACTTCAAAGCTTTCATGTTATGCTCCTTTTCCACTGATGAAACTGCAAGAAAGTAAGCCAGTGTTAAAAATGATGATTAGATAGCATTCCAGTTAATGTTTTCTTGAGTTTAAAAAGAGCACGGGGATACTTTTGAGATGCAAGTATTTAGAACCTGTCTGTAAATGAGGGCTTTAGAATAGGTGCTCCCATTCTTGCCAGCCACTGGGTTTCTGCAGTGACTGTGCATGTCTGACATGGTTTTTATTTGCACAGAGTGCAGGAGTAGGGCATCTCATAAAAGAAAACGAAACAAAGCCTCCCCAAACTTGGGATTTTTTAGTAGCTTAAAATACATAATAAAGTAGGATGCCAAATATATAGTTGCATAATTAGTGCCATGGGGTGAAGTGCTCCATTTAACACATAGGTGACTCATGAGCCAAATTAGTGATTAATAAAATGCACCTGGAATTAGGAAAAAACCCCAAACATTAAAAAAAAACCCTAACATTCACATACAAAGCCAACAGGGGTCTCAATGCAAGTGTTTTGCTTTGGGAAGCACTGACAAAGCCATGTGATCATAGCTGCAGAACTCTGGCACACTGGGTAATGGCAATGTAGGGAAACAGTGCTAGTTACTTTATAAAGCATTTAGTAAAGATGCCCATCATGTTTTATGGTATGTAGGTCATTTCTGACTGAAAAGCATAATAGCTATTCTTTAATCTCTAGACATAGCAATGTAAAACTAGGTTGCACAAACTCTTACCACTAACAAGGCACTATCATCAGTGTGCTGAGACCTTCTGGATGGGAGGGGACACTGGAGAAGTGAAGAAAAATGAAGCAATGTCAAAAACAAACTATGCACACAATTGACGTATTTCACAAATACAGACACAGGAAAGCGATATAAGAGGCTGACAATTCATGCACCATGATGACCAGTAAGTTGATTCTGAATACTGATTTTCTTCCAGAGTTTCAACAACTTCTACAATCTTATTGCTCAAAAACTTCCTAAAGGAACGAGGAAAAAGAGATTATTCTCTGTTCAGAGAAGAAAGCTGAAGTAAAGACACAGCAATAACAAAGAATTTGAGAGCCAGTGACAAATTAAATAAGCTCAATGTCATGATTTCTGACCTAGGCATCCATTACCTTTCTCAGACAAACAAGGGACAACTGGAATATCTAAAACTATACACGTTATTTCTCTGTGAAGCTTCAGTTTTTAGAGAATGAATTACTCGAGAACAATCATCAAAAAAGGAAATGATGGAGTAAAAAAGGAAAAATGTATTAAGCTTATCAAACTTTCGTTGTCAAAGGATTGTACAGAATTATTACTATGTGAAGAAAAGACGAAAATGCTTGACTTACTTGGTATACTAACCTATGAAGTTTTTATATAAACAAAATTGTTATTATATGTTCAACAATATTTTAATGGTTATTTAAAAGCATTTAAACAATATACTTTTTTTTTTTTTTTTTTTTTGCAGTACTGGGGCTTGAACTCAGGGCCTATACCTTGAAGCCCACTCCAACAGCCATTTTTTGTGAAGTGTTTTTTGAGATAGGGTCTCAGGAACTATTTGCTCTGCTGGCTCTGAACTATGATCTTCCTGATCTCTGCCTCCTGAGTAGCTAGGACTACAGGTGTGAAACACTGCTGCTTGGCTAACAATATACTTTCGTATATCAGAACTTGTGCTTTAAAACACTGTGATGAAAAATTAGTGTTATAAAAGCCCCAAATTAGGTTTTCAAATGAAAAGCTATGCTTTTATGAAAATCAAAGTCAAAATTCACACAATTCACACAGTACCTTTATGAATTTTTAAGGAAGCAATTATTATAAATTGAAAAAAATGACAAAAAAAAGGGAAAATGGTCAGAGAGAAAGTCAACTATAAAAAAATATTCATTTAGTAAGCATCTTGGCTGATCAAAATAGGTGGATAAATTTTTAAAAGTAATGAATTTCAGTTATTTGTAATGAAAATGTACTGTCTGTTATTATAAAACTAGTATGTGAAAGTACAATGGATACCACTGAAATAATAAACACCAGCACCTTTTACCTGTGTCATAGCTCTCAGGATTACACAGTGTATTTTGAAATGGATGTAATGGGGGAGATGCCTTTGATGGAGACAGCGGAGGAAAAGATAATCTTGAGATGGACGTATATAGAATCTTAATATATAGATTCTGATAAACTTCCCAGCCTATTTCTTTTTCTCCTCTATACATAGAATGTCATGATGTTTTGGAAAAAACAGGCAATGTTTTCACCACCAAAAACATGACGATCACATGTAAAACATTTCATTTTCATTGTAAAGATAATAAATTTAAAGAAAAGGTGATTATATCAACTTACCTCACTATCTATAGGGGGTTGTTGTTTTTGTGGACTTTGTGTTGTTTTTTGCTATATACCCAAAAAAAGGAAGTTGGTTAGAATCTGGAACACTGCTTATGGTAAATTATATTTACTAAAATAATTTCTTTATTTCTTATATATACCATTTTTGTAGAACCTATTAGTTAAGATGTTTTCTTTTGACTTGAATATCTTAGTTTAGATGAAGAAAAGTAACAAACTGTATAATCTTATTTCTCTCATTATTTATAAATGGAAAAATTTAAAAACTGTATGTACTTTTCCATATGCATTGTGGAATACTGACCTGTTAACTATATTCTCTTAATGACCTGATTCTCTTGCTAATGGCTTTACATAGCACACTAATTTACTATATCTAAGTACGTTGCTTAATTTCCCTAGACTGTACCTTCCTCATTTGTGAAACAGGAACACTTCCACCTTCCCTAATATAAAGATTAAGTAAGCCAATAAAGTATTTTGGTTGGCTTTAAATGTGCTATATAAAATTTTTTTATTTGGTAAAAAATCAGGCAGGGATTTGAGAAAGGGAAATGGCTTGACAAAATAGGAGGTCTAGTATGTGGGTAATGGATGTCATGAGCAAAAATATAATAACAGAAGTTAAAGGAGATCATGAAAAAATGGACATTAGTAAATATACGATGGAGAAATAGCAGCCTCTTCAACAAAAACTGCTGGGAAAACTGGTTAGCAGTCTGCAAAAAACTGAAACTAGATCCATGTATATCACCCTATACCAAGATTAACTCAAAATGGATCAAGGATCTTAATATCAGACCACAAACTCTAAAGTTGGTACAAGAAAGAGTAGGAAATACTCTGGAGTTAGTAGGTATAGGTAAGAACTTTCTCAACGAAACCCCAGCAGCACAGCAACTAAGAGATAGCATAGATAAATGGGACCTCATAAAACTAAAAAGCTTCTGTTCATCAAAAGAAATGGTCTCTAAACTGAAGAGAACACCCACAGAGTGGGAGAAAATATTTGCCAATTATACATCAGACAAAGGGCTGATAACCAGAATATACAGGGAACTTAAAAAACTAAATTCTCCCAAAACTAATGAACCAATAAAGAAATGGGCAAGTGAACTAAACAGAACTTTCTCAAAAGAAGAAATTCAAATGGCCAAAAAACACATGAAAAAACGCTCACCATCTCTAGCAATAAAGGAAATGCAAATTAAAACCACGCTAAGATTCCACCTCACCCCTGTTAGAATAGCCATCATCAGCAACACCACCAACAACAGGTGTTGGCGAGGATGCGGGGAAAAAGGAACCCTCTTACACTGTTGGTGGGAATGTAGACTAGTACAACCACTCTGGAAAAAAATTTGGAGGCTACTTAAAAAGCTAGACATTGATCTACCATTTAATCCAGCAATACCACTCTTGGGGATATACCCAAAAGACTGTGACACAGGTTACTCCAGAGGCACCTGCACACCCATGTTTATTGAAGCACTATTCACAATAGCCAAGTTATGGAAACAGCCAAGATGCCCCAGCACTGACGAATGGATTAAGAAAATGTGGTATCTATACACAATGGAATTTTATGCAGCCATGAAGAAGAACGAAATGTTATCATTCACTGGTAAATGGATGGAATTGGAGAACATCATTCTGAGTGAGGTTAGCCTGGCCCAAAAGACCAAAAATAGTATGTTCTCCCTCATATGTGGACATTAGATCAAGGGCAAACACAACAATGGGACTGGACTTTGATCACATGATAAAAGCGAGAGCACACAAGGGAGGGATGAGGATAGGGAAGACACCTAAAAAACTAGCTATCATTTGTTGCCCTTAACGCAGAGAAACTAAAGCAGATACCTTAAAAGCAAGGGAGGCCAATAGGAAAAAGGGACCAGGAACTAGAGAAAAGGTTAGATCAAAAAGAATTAACCTAGAAGGTAACACACACGCATAGGGAAATCAATGTGAGTCAATGCCCTGTATAGCTATCCTTATCTCAACCAGCAAAAACCCTTGTTCCTTCCTATTATTGCTCATACTCTCTCTTCAACAAAATTAGAAATAAGGGCAAAATAGTTTCTGCTGGGTATTGAGGGTGTGGGGGGGAGAGGGAGAGGCGGAGTGGGTGGTAAGGGAGGGGATGGGGGCAGGGGGGAGAAATGACCCAAGCCTTGTATGCACATATAAATAATAAAAGGAAAAAAATAAACAGTAGAAGGAGCACAGAAGTCTACTGGACACATGGAAAGGAGATGGAGTTCTTTATATGTTAGTCCCACCTCTGCTACTGTGACTGTGTAAACTTCATAAATTCCAAAGCCTTAGACTAGGGTTGGCAAGCTATAATCCTAGGGCCAAATCTGGCCCACCACTTGTGTTTGTGAATAAAGTTTTATTGGCACGAAAAAAAGACATGGACATTAGTATAACAACACTTTTTAGTTGAGGTAAGGAGAAGGCATGAAAGAAGACGCCTTGTCTATGGGTAGACAGAAGGGAGGGAAGAATTGAGAGATAATATAGTTAGCTGAGATCACTCTTCAGATGTCTAAACTTTTGTTTCTAATATTAACTTCAGTTTTTTGCTTAAATTCTGACAAAAAAGAATAGGCAACAGAACTTGTTAGCTGAAGAAGACTTGATATATTTGAAAAAAATTCACCATGCAAAACAGTAAGAGGTATGTGCATGATATTTTAAAAATATGGTCTTTGGCTAAAATTATGAAACATAGCAGAGAAAACTTTTAGAAATCAAGAGTGAAAAAAAAACTAAAGTAAAAAACAAACAAATAAAAAAAGAAAATCAAGAGTGATTCATTAACTGACTCATTCATTTAACAGGTATCTACTGAGCTTTGCTATGGGCTCAGACTTGCTAAGTCTTAGGGACATAGCAGTGAGTAAAACAAAATTCCTATCTTCATGAAGTTTGAAAAAAAATGGGAGACAAATACTAAACTTACAAAATTACAAATAATTATTTAATTATGAAGAAAAAATCTAAGGTGATTTTTCAGAGTAAAAAAATCAAATCATATAACCAAAGTAAAATGAGCAAGGTTTGGATACTACTAGAGATACATCAAAATATTAAGAAAAAAGACATTAACTGGGGTTATGAACTGAGTGAGTATGGAGAACAACAAAAAGACAAGAACCAAAGATGACTGTAAAGGATGAAGGCTATCAGCCTAGCAAATTTGGGGTATATTTAATAGAGTGAAAAAGTTGAAGAGAAATTTGGTAAATACTAGGTTAACACTTGCATAATAGCACTTTCACAGTTTACCCAGCATTTTCACTTTCGTGAGCTTATCGCTCTTTACTATGACACCAGAGACTCAAATAGGAAAGTAATAAGACCAATGGTAGCTTGCTATTTAAGAGGAAGAGGACACTGTTAAAAAGCAAGATAATCACTTCTACTGACTTACTATTAGTCAAGATTCTTTATAATGAGAGATAAAAAATTGGTATTTTAAGACAATAAAAAACCTAACAGTCTTGGCCAAACGAATAAACATTTACTTCTAAGTAACTTTAAGAGTATCAGTCAATGAATTCAATGACTTACCTTGACAAAGTCTAGGACAGCATCTCTCTGAATCTGCTTGGTCCTTATTTTTTCCTCCTCATACTGCAGGGCCGCAAGCTGTGCCTCTCTTCGAGTGCGCTCTACTAATTGTTCTCTTCTCCGATGAAGTTCCAAGTCTGCATGTGAAAGCTGGAACAAAGGTATAATTTTACAGATGCAAGAGGGATAAAGGTCAACTTATCAGTATCTTCTATCGATTTTAGGGTTGCTTTAGGTAACTTTTACTTTGCCGTCACCTTGCACTTCTTTGAATGTGTTTACTGCCAATGCTTCTCATATTCATACTATTCTTATATGTACTGTAATGCCATCACTGTAGGTAAAGTTTTTTTTTTTTTTAGAGGCAGAGTCATATTATGTAGCCCAAGCTGGCTTCAAACTTGTGATCCTACTGCCTCAGCCTCCCAAGTGCTAGGATTACAGAATTGCACCACCATGCCTAGCTTAAAGGTTTATTTTCTGAAATACTGTTAGCAAGTATCATATGCATGTGTTATATGAACTGATTGTAAAGTTTACATGTATTAGGCAATTAATGGCAATGTGAGTATTATAAAGGAAAACCATTTTAGTTTTAAAAAAATCAAAATTAAAACAGCAAAAACTAAATAAATCTACTAACAATTACCTGATTGTGACTTGGTGATAGTGGCGAGAGAGAAGATGCTTCAATTGGAACTCTGATGCCAAAAAGAAAAACAAAGGAAAAATTCTTTTATAACAAGACAGACAGATAAGGGACCAGTGAAATTTTACTATTAACGTAACCACTAATTAGCAGGCAAGCTATATAGTAAGCACTGAAAGAGTGACTGCATTTCATAAACTTGAGCCCAAGTCATTAAATTAAACCACAGGAATACCTGATGTCTCCAACTCTTATTTCATGTGATAATATCTTTGATTATTCTATAGCTGGTTAACAACTGTTTATGTCAACCAATACTGACAATACAGTTAGCTGAGATCACTTTTCAAAAAGTATCATTTCTTTAAAACATAAATACCTACTATCTGCTTTCCTTCCATTATTGAAACGAGATACATGTAAACTGAGATCCTTTTATATACAAAGCCACTTAATCCAGAGAAACTGGAATACTACAGAACCTGGTAACTGTACTTATAAAACACTCCTACTTTTATTTTCAACTGATGAAGCAATTTCACTAACAAAAGTAAAGATTATGTTGATTTTTTTCTATAGATTTTTATTCTTAAGAAAAAGATGATAGCTACTCAGATAGTGAAGACCAGGAGGATTATAGTTCCAGGCCAGCCCAGACAAAAAGTTTGTGAGTCACCATCTCAACCAATGGCTGGGCGCAAAGCCATGCCTCTGTTATCCCAGTTATGTGGGGAAACACAAATAGGAGAATCTCAGTCCAGGTTGGTCTGGGCATAAAGTGAGACTCTATCTCAAAAATAATCAATGCAAAAAGGGATGGCAGAATGGTAGACTGCCTGCCTACTAAGCATAGGCACCACTAAAAAACCCAAAAGAAACCCTATTTGATATGTTTAAAAAAAAAAACAAACCACTTCCTTCTCAGTAATTTCTTAGTAATTGCTAATAATATAAATTCTTTAACTTGGCATTTAGAACTCTTACCCCATCTAAAATATGCCTACTATGGAATCTTTTTTCTAGTAATACCTCTAATCATCTATTAATTCTAAAGACTACAAATTTATGGATCTCTTTCCAGTAAAGGTCTCTTTTGGAATCTTATTTTCCTATAAAATTGGGACTTTCCCCCTGATGTACATGTGTAATCAATTTTTTTTTTGCATTTATCAACTATGCTATGATTCATGTCATTTTCTGGCTAACATTTTTCTAGGTCAAATTTAGCTCTTACCATGTACTACATTTGCCTTATGTTAAACACTTTGCATACACAGTATTTCTCAATTACGCCTCATAACAATCATATAAAGTAAGAATGATTATACTCCTCAGTTGAGAGTTGAGAAATCTCAAGGTGACATAGCCAGTAAGTTGAAGTTGAATATGAATTTTTATCTATCTGATCCTATAGTAGTTTATACTCTTAATTACCATGCAACCTATGAGAACAAGAAGGAACCTCAGAATCATGGAGCAGAAGCTACTAATTTTACAATCGTGAAAACTGAGACTCTCAGGACTTAAGTGATAGCTACTTACTGGCAGAGCCTGGATTAGTATTCAAGCTACGTAATTTATAGTTCACTGTTCTTTCTACCACATCATTTTTCCTTCAATTAATAGACAGAAGCTGAGAAGCCAAAAGGAATGAGCTTTAGGGTTTGAAAGTACAGGAGTATACATTTTTTAAAAAGTATCTGTGATCGCATGAACTAAGTTGTGAAATGTTTAGGATGGAAGTAAAGCAGGGAGCACAGTATATGAGAAAATAAGTGACAATGAAGAAGACAACTGAGAACTGACAGCTTTTCCATACCAATCTCCAGGCTCACTACTGCTTTGTTATTACTTGCTGGGCTGGCAGAGTGGCTCAAGTGGTAAGAATGCCTCCCTAGCATGCGTGAGGCCCTGAGTTCAAAACGCCAGTGCCACTCCCCCACCCCCCCAAAAAAGTGCTATTCCTTGCTGTCACCATGATATTTCATGTTGTATGAGTTTTTCATTTATGAATTTGTTTTCCACTAAGGGCATCACTACCATTTCAAATAAGATAATTTTTCATTATTTAAGATTATCCTGCACATTATAGGTAGTTTAGCCTCAAAGCCTGCCAGTAACACTGTCAGTCATTTTGGCAATACATAAACACATTTTCAAATACTTTTGAGAAACACTGGTCTACTTCACACTTTTCTGAATTAAAAAAAATATGCATGAAAGCAAAACCTTAAGCTACACTACTGTTCTTTCTCTCCACTTTTTTTTCCTTTTAATATTGGTTCACATCTTTTTTTTTGGTACTGAGGCTTGAACTCAGGGCTTACACCTTGAGCCACTCCACCAGCCTTTTTTTGTGTTGGGTTTCTTTCGAGATAGGGTCTTGCAAACTATTTGCCCAGGCTGGCTTAGAATCACGATCCTCCTGATCTCTGTCTCCTGAGTAGCTAGGATTACAGGCATGAGCCACCGGAGCCCGGCTTGAAGACTTTTTTTTGTTTTGTTTTGTTTTTGTGGTACTGGGTTTGAACTCAGAGCCTCAGGCACTCTACCAACTGAGCCACTCTGTCTCCCCCCCCCACATCTTTGATGTATTCACAAAATTCTTTTTCGTTTGGATGGAACTTGTTGAATAGCAGTATGATAGCATGCTGTATTAGAAACAGTTCTTAGATGTTGAGTAGTTGGCAGTATAACAGGCTGTAAGTCCATAATTGCCTACTTTCCAGACAATCTGATATCTCAGTTTACCTGGGTTGCCTAGACTCATGTCCAAGCTGCTCATCCCTGGTAAAGTAACAGAGGCAATGGGGAGCAACCTTATCTTATGTACAGGCTTTACAATGCCTAATGCTATGGGAATAATATGACAACATTTTTTTTGGCAAATATTATATTGTACATCCTCATAAATCCAGGCCAGTCTCTGTGGTTTGTTCTAATTCAGTGAGCTAGGAAACTTATGTAACTTCTCTGAGTCTAAACTTCCTCATTTGTAAAGTGAGGATAATTAGGTGTACCTCATGAGATGCTATGAAGATTAAACAAGATATTACATGTACACATAGACCATTAAAAGTGTATTCTAATGACTACATGTTTAGGATAACAGAGATTAACCATAGCTTTGTCCATACTTTACTAGTTCCACTATTAAAATTTCCTATAGTTTTTATTAGCCATTTGTACATAAACTGGACCAAGACAGAAAGGACCAAATAAACCCATCCGAAGCACATTTATATGCTCCATGAACACTGTTTTAACAATGTTTTTTAGATCTTTTTATACAAACCTCCTTCCTATCACATTTCTTTGCCTTCATTTTACACCATTTTTTTTTTTTTAAAGTCAGTCAAGTCCGTTGTCTCTACTTCATCTCAATTTATTTTGTACCCACTCCAATCTGGAGCTTGTCCTTACAATGTCACTGAACTGTTCTTTTAGCTCACAATAATAAATATTCCCAATTGCAACAGTTATTTTTTCGTTCTTGCCTTACTATACTTACTTATCAGTAGAATTTGACATAATTTATCCCTCTCTATTCTTCTTTAAATCACCCTGTTCACTTTTCCTCTGCGATACCATCCTCTCCTTAGAGAGACTACTTAGGAGTAGTCTCTATGACTACTCCTGCTAAGTTTCTTTTTCTAGTTGTTCAAGCCTACTGTCTCTCCACTTTACTTTAAATTCACATATCTAACTACTCACTCAATAATTCAAGTGTATGTTTAGTAGACACCTTTAATGGAACATGACTGCAGCCAAATTCTCATTTCACCCACCAAACCTGTCTTCCCTTTGTTCGGGCTTCTTGGTGTTTCTTGAATACACCAAGCATGCTCCTACCTCATGGCCTATGCCTAGACTGTTCTTCCCCCAGATAGCAATAATGCGTGCTCCCTCACATTTTCAGGTTTCTATTAAAATATTATCACACTACAATACATTCACTCTCATTTTCTCCTAACTCTGACACTATTATCCTCTTTTACTGTTTTATTTTTCTTCACAGCACTTAGCAGAACCTGACACATATTTGCAACACATATTTGTGAACATCTACTAAAAGGTAAGCTCTAACACATCAGAGACCTAGAACAGAGCCAGAACCACTATAGTACTCAAAAATATTGTTTAAATGAATGGCACTGGTCCCTCCCGCCAAAGCACGGAATACTGACACATAAGAAACAAAAATACAGGTAACACAAACTCATCTCTTTTAAATCTTGGAACTTATTTGAACTGAGTAAATTTAAACTTCATAAAGCAGGCTTTGAACTGCCCACTCTGCTTTTATTTGTTTGTAAAATCACATAATTAATGAGAAGCTTTTCTACTTTTTTATAACATGAAACAAAAAACTTTCAGGTTTTATCCAAACGTTTTTTAATTCCATATTGCTTCTTAAGGAAGTTAATTAACTTTATAGGATCCAGCCCGATATCACCATCTCTCTTGAACTAAAGTACTATTCAGACCAGAGGCAGATCTAGTTTAAAAATGGTATTTTGAGACTTTAAAAAATAAATGATAATTTTGTCTAGTTTCAACTTCAAAGTTATAAATCTTGACAAATAGCTGCAAAACACTCACCAATTTATCACACTTTCTACTTAATGTATCCCTCTTCCTTTATTCCCCAGGAGGTAGACTCTATGTGTATATGGTGGGGATGGGGGTGTGGAGTACACGAACAAGGGGAAAGAAAGAGGACTGAGGGAAAAAGACCAAGTAAGCAAATTTATCAGCTCACTAGCTGAGGGCTAGGACACTTTAATAGGCAAGCAGCAATCCAATAAACTGACTCAACTCCTTTGAGTCTGAAAATTAGAGACTGCTAAGACAGATTCTTTTTGTTAACATATTATTCAAGTTATAGACAAGTCCTGTGAGGGAGGGTGAGAGCTACTGGCACTTTGAGGTGATTTTGTCTTTCTAGGTTCTTACTCATTATTCCATTTGAATATGAACTCCAGGATGGAAGGAACTTTGAAGTTCATAGCCAAATCCCTACACCTAGAAAAAGTATTTGGCAAATGGTAGCTATTGAACAAACATCTGCTAACTAAACAAATGCAGTTGTACTGATTTTAGAGCTTATCCATAACTGGAAAGTTGTTATCACTGTCAACAAAAAAGAACGATATATGGGCTGGAGGTGTGGCTCAAGCAGTACAGAACCTTCTTTGTAAGTGTGAAGCCCTGAGTTCAAACCCCAGTACGGGGAAAAAACCCACAACAGTTCCTACATACTAAACTTACTGTTATATAACAACTGCTGTATCACGTATACTGCTTTAAGAATTCATGAAAACAGACAGAAGGCAAAGAACTCAAAGCTACTGTGATAGTTTGTGGTAAGTAATCTTTTAGAGTCCAAGAATGGGAAGCATTCTGAACAACCGAGCCCATTGTAGAAATAGCGAGGACTAAAGGACAGTGGGAAGATCATATTAATTAAAGACAGAAATGAGAATACATATCATTGTCTACCTCTCCATTATCCAGTCAAAAAGGTCAGCTAAAAAAATTGAGGGCTTTTAAAACCTAAGCTCTCTTTATGCATGAATCTCTACATCATTACATCATTGCTATTAAATACCTTCAAATCAAGTAATTGTAGAGAAAATGATTTAGATGGTCTGAATTCAGGATCAATAACTCAATTTTACTTCTTTCTTGTGGCATGAGCACAAAAGCACACTGTCACTCAGTTTTAAATACATGATCTCTAAAAATGTAGTTGCTACACAGCTTCATTATACATGGATGTGCAAAACCAAAAAGCACTTCACATTCTTATTAGTGAGTTTTAAGGCACAAAGAAGTAAGTAAAATTGCTTTTTCAAACCTGTTTTGATGTGAATATCTTCTCATGTCTTCTGTTTTTTGAAACTCCCTAATGGCAACTGGCCTTATTAGTGAACCCTAGACCAAAAAAGCAAAATTAAATCAACTTAACATAGTTTCCAGAACACTGCGATTACACTATTCATTCAACTTGACATTTAGGAATTTGTATATTACATTAAAACTTTATTTTAATAGAGTCTCCAAATGTGAGTCATATTTAAAAGCATTGTAGGCTAGTCTATAATACCAGCACTTGAGAAGCTGAGGCAGGAAGATTGTGAGTTCAGGGCCAGCGTGGGCTACAAAGCAAGACCTTGTCTCAAACCAAATATAAAACAAAGTGTCATTGCAGGCTATATACTATATGCTTTGAAAAACAAAAATACTTATAACCTACATTTTATTTAAAAAAGATTTTTCTCAGTATATAAACTATACAATAAAACTATATAGTAGTATTTACTGAATGATAAGAAAGGATCTTAGACATTATCTACTACAAGCTTCTGTCTAGGACAGAAATTTCTATCTACCCCAGCCCAACATTTGCTCAGTTTCTCTTGAATGTATGTAATAACAGGGGCTTCACTGGACAGACGCTCTTTACTTCTTTACCACTACAAAGTGTCTCTTATCTTAATAACACAAATAGTCCTGGGCATGTTAGTAGAGTATCAAGCTAAAACAAAAAGTAATTTCTATTTACTTGGTAAAAAAAGTAGTATAAATTGAAAGAAGTATTATTGGCAATAGAACTTATTTATAAAGTAAATGGTAAGGCCATTTTCAAAAAAATAACTGAAGAACATGAAGCTGACTTAAGTGAGATGGTCCACACACTAAAACATAAAGCCAAAATCAAAAGTACAGACTTAAAGGTTATAACAGTATATACTTTGTCCAATGAGAATCTATGGAAGCAATACATGCTTATTTCAACACCAAATATAACCATCAAAATGAGTATTCTTAGCTGGAAGTGGTGGTGCACACTCACAACCCCAGTTATTCGGGAGGCAGAGGTAGGATGATCACAATCCAAGGCCAGCCTGGACAAAGTTAGCGCAAGACACTTCATGAAAATCAAAGAAAAAGTGAAAGGACTTGGGGTGTGACTCAGGTGGTAGAGCACTTGCCTAGCAAGTATAAGGCCCTGATTTCAATCCTAGGTACTAAAAAGAAAAAAAAAAAAAAAAAAAAAACAAGCAAAAAAACCCCAAACATAAAATTATACACACCTCCAAGAAATAAACACATCACACATAAACAGAAAAATTTCTGACAAGATATTTCAAAAACTGACAGCCTCAAAGTTTGGGCAGGAGGGTCATATAGAATAAACTACAGTTCTGATACTCTGACCATGTCATTTTATAAGCAAAAATCGCTCCTTGGATGTTCTATCAGTGACTTACCACCCTGATTTTATGATACTGCAATTTAGATAATTATTGTAAAAGGTACAAGATTATAATAAATTATTGTAAAAGGTACAAGAAATTTCCATAATAAAATCAATGTGACAATGATTTAATTGAAAACATAATTATAAGTCACATCCTACTCAGGCAGAGGTGGTCTACTGATACAAGAGGCATTAAAAATAAAAGTCAAATAAATTCAAATAAAATTCAATAGCAGCAGCAGCACCTCAATTTGGCTAGTGTTTTTAAGCACTCTATTGTTAGACAATACTTAGGAATACAAAAGTATATTTCTTCACTGGTTGCTAAATCATCTAAAATACTACTACTTCATCATATGTTCACAGATCACCAAATTTTAGAGACCTTTATGACATAGAATTCATAAAGAGCCTTATGACATAGAACCATAAAAAAAACTATGTAGAAATTAAGTGCATTATAACAAAAGAACCAATAAAATGGGTTAAAGAAATGCTAGTACAATTTTCACAGTAATATGATAAGCATTTTCAAGTTTAATAGAGATACCCAGATTTATAAAGCCTAATTTACCATAAAATGATCAAAGAGAAAGACCGTAAGTAAAAAAGATTTCTTTAGAGATTATAATGTGGCATAAATTTTACTTTTATTGCAGAGTAGTTCTTTGCTCCAACACAGAGACTATTAGCCTGAACCACAAAGAGTTTCATTAATCACCTGGCCTATTGCTTTCTCTAGGCTGCAGGATTTGATTTATATAACATTATACAATTTAAAATGCAAATGTGTCTTTTGAACACCAACAAAAAAATACTGTGTTCTTCAAAAAGGCCCCAAGTATTTCTCAAATAACCCCTGCTCAGAGCCTGGGATGAACTCCAGACATCAATATCACATACACTAAAATGGAGCCATTTTACTATGCTGACTAGATACACTGAAGAATGCTATTCTACTTGAGAGCCTTGGGGAATTGGCAGAAATTCTGTAGTGGGCTGAATGCTCATTTGTTTTCTAAGGCAATTCAATGTTCCACTATAGGAGATCTCTAAGAATTTTAATAGCAAACAATTTATGTCCTGTTAACTTAAGATAAAAGAATAAATATAATTAAGCTTACTATAAATAATCTAAGGATACATTGTATATTGCCTCAAAAGTCAACTTTTTGGTTTAATTCTTAATTACCAATCAATCAAACCATGATTTACCAGCTGGTTAACAGTAAAAAACAAAAACATAATAAAACAAAACAAAAACAAACACCCCCCAAGCCATCAGGAAACAAAACAGAAAGTAACAATGAAAACATATTCTTTCCCATTTTCTTCAAAGACCTTAGGTTACTCTTAGAATTTCTTTCATTCCTTCTTCAAAATAATGAACTCTGTCTTCTTATTTAAAAAAATTAAAGTCCTATTTGGGATTATTGTCTGATTTTCTAATAAATCTGAAAAATCCAGGATTAAAATCAGAGGTGAACATGTTAAAACAATTAGGCCTAGATCAACAAATCAATGACATGACAGAAATGTATACTATCACTAATTGTTTCCACTAGGGGACAGATACATATGTTAAAATTATGTACTACCTCATGAGAGATTCGCCGTTGTTCAATATAGGCCATGAACTGGGAACTGAGACTGTCTGAGTCCAGGCCCTTGGGTTGTCTCACCTCATCCTCTTCTTCTGCAGTGGAGCTGTCAATGTAGTCAATTTGATCCAGATCATGCTCCACTGTACACACAAAGATACACAATAAAATTCAAAGAGACATCAAATAAAAGGCATTTACTTAAATTATATTATCTCATTTTCACCAACATTTTCTATTTTGAAAGTGGAAGGAATAAGAAGTTTAAATTACATAAGCCTTGGTCCATGGTCATTCATACAAAGTCTCTTGAAAACCTTAGTCTTAATTCACTTACGAATGCAGTAACTGATGGTGACTATAGACCTTAAATATTTCCTTTTTCCTTGGACAGTTCTTTAATGTTTTAAGTGAGACAGTCTGAGTTAGTGAGATAAATAGAGAAAACTAATTTTTAAAGACTGAAGGCTGCATCTTCTTTTTTTTGTTTTGGTTTTGGTTTTTGTTGACAGGGTCTTGCTATCTACATAACCCAGGCTGGCCTAGAACTCACTATATATCCCAGGCTGGCCTCAAACTCACAATCCTGCCTCAGCCTCCTGAGTTCAAGCCCCAGTACTGAAAAAAAATAAATAACATTAATTTTAATGATGTACTTAATTTTGTTCAATATACCTAAATATTATCATTTCAATATATAATCAATATACAGTATTATTTTACATATATTTTCATATTGTTTTCAAAACATTATGTGTATTTCATACTTATATTTAGTGACTAGCAGCTAACATACTGAAGAGCAAAGAGCTAGAAATTATCTTAAGTCTTAAATAACCGATGGGAAAGAGATCTCATATGACAGTGAATGAAAGGAGTAGTAAGTGACAGGAGTAAGATGGTGAAGAAAAGAAAGACAGCCAATCACTTAATTGAAACCATCATTCAGGACTGGAGGTGTGGCTCAAGCAGTGGAGCATCTGTCTTCCAAGTACTTGAGTTTAAACCCCAGAACAGGGAGGATGTGTGTGGTGGAGGGAGTTCATCATCCGGAGGTAAAAGCTCTTATTGCTTCATAAAAAAACCAAAGTTAATTTCTCCCTTATCCCTGACCCTCAAAATTTAAACATTAGGATTTGGTAAATCAAACTAAAGCACTGAAAAATGGAAGGCCAAAATCAAGAGCCTGCTTCATAGTACAAGGAAGCAGAAAGAACAGTGCTCATTCTGTAAAGGCAAAACAAAGTTTTAAATGCCAGAATAAGGAAAACTGAGATTTTGAGGCCCCAAAGAGCATTATTCCAGATGAAAGAAAAGGTAAACATTAAAATATATGCTGGAAGCTGGACATAGTGGCATGCACCTGTGGTCCTAGATACTCAGGAGGGTGAGGCAGGAGGATTATTTGAGCTCAGGAGTTTGAGACCAGCCTGGGTGACATGATGACAACCAGTCTTCAAACAAACAAACAAATGTACTAGAATCCTGAAGATCAAATCCCTTAAAAATGGAGTCTTAAAAAGGGAAATTACTATTTCAAAAGAAGACTGGTAAAATCAAGATTAATAAACATCTACTCCAGGTAACTGTTCCTAATAAAGGGACAGTTTTTTTTCCAATAAAGGAGAGGGAAAACACAGAGAAATTCAAATTTCATGCCAATGGCAAACAAATTTTTTCAGTCAGACATGAAAAGAAGTCTTTAGAAGTATGAAGGAGTCACAGGCACACAGAAATGAGTAGATGTGAAAAAGACTACTTCAGAAAGATGAAGACTTTATCTATTACCAGAATTATGTTTACCTCCACCATTTGTCACTGTCAAACTGCTGCGATTCTCTTGATACTGGCTTTCTCTCCGCAGTCTTTGTTCTTTAGTGATCTCTGCTACTCGGAGAGGCAGATCTGAAAATTCATCTGTAGGCTTAAAAAATAGAAATATTAAAAATGCCACTTCCAATTCTAGACAACATATTTCAAATATAAAAAAATTAAAAATTTACACTTATGAAACAGCAAAAATGTTTTGGAAATGGACAGTGAAGATGTTTGTGCAACACTGAATGTACTCAATGCAAGTGGAATATACACATTAAAATGGTTAAAATGTTAAACTTTATGTTATATATTTTGCTACAATTAACAAAAAGAAGAAATAGAAAGGTATTCATGATTCTAAATATATACAGAGATTTAAATTAGCTACATATATCTGCCAGGACACAGCTGCACTTACCTACATAACCCTCCAGAAGTATATAAAAAAGCAAATCCGAATTACAAATGGTTTGTGGTTGAAATTTAATTTGTTTTGGACTCTCAATGAAACAATGTTATATAAATTGTATATTACCATTCCTGCTATCAAAAGCTTAATCATTTAGCTTATAAATATTGTATCTTAGCAACTTAAAAAGAAAATAAAATACCAATAATTAAACAACATTTAAAAAATAATATAATTTCTCTCTTTTTTCTTGTTTGGCAATATGGGGAATTGAACCCAGAGCCTTAAACATGGCTGTACCACTGAGCTATCATGCCTAGCCCACGTTCCTATCTCTACCCATCAGTTTATAGTCCTACTTTTTTCCCAATCATCTAGCATCCCTTCTACTACCTCTGCTCTAGATTACCCACCTCCTCAAATTTCAGGATTCAGTGTTTTGTTTTGTTTCAGTTTTTTGAGACAGGGTTTCACTATGCAGTCCAGGCTAGCCTTGAACTCACAATGCTCCAGCTTCAGCCTCCTGAGTGTTAGAACTACAGGTGTATACCACCATGCTCTAATAAACTTTAGTTTTTAAATGACTCAATTCCTATTTAAGTTTTCTAGAATATGAAACTATATGAGGCAAAGAAGTAACAAACTTGTAAAAGCACATGCAGTAAAAAGATGGTAAAGAAGCAAATAGCAGGGTTGAAGGTATGAGCACCTACCTAGTAAGGATGAGGCCTTGCCAAAACAACAACAAAGAATTTATGGGCTGGGAGTATAGTTCAGTGGTAGAGTGCCTGCCTAGCATGTGCAAGGCCCTAGGTTCCATCCCCAGCAACACACACACACACACACACACACACACACACACAAAAACCAAAACAAAGTCGGGCACCAGTGGCTCATGCATGTAATCCTAGGTAGTTGAGAGGCTAAAATCAGGAGGATCAGTGTTCAAGGCCAGTCCATCTCCAAAATAATCAGAGCACAATGGACCAGAGGTGTGGCTCAAGTGGTAGAGTGCCTGCTTAGCAAGCACAAAGCCCTAAGTTCAAACCCCAATCCCACCAAAAACAAACAAACAAAACAAAATAACCCCCCCACACCCCAAAACAAAAAACCAACCAACCAACCAAACAAACAAAAAAACCAGAATAGCATTTTCAGATGTAGAGTATTATCTGGCATTTTTGCCCCTCCCTTGACTTATGTAATAAAAACTGAATCTAATTTAGAACTTCTCCTTTTCATCATTTTATTTTCTCAAATCAGGAGTTATAACATGGGATGGAAGAAACACTTACCTCATTCCCTGACCATCTCTTATCACCGCTGTCAACACTATTGAAACCTGAATCAAGGGCTCCATAAGGGCGACTAGAGTATAGTTCTTCATGGCTGCTCAAAAGAAACTAGTTGTTACTGCAAAGTTTCATAATTTAAAAGTTAACATTTGGTATAAACCAATTTTACTAATAAACATTCTCATGACAGTTACTTAACTATCAGAATTAAATGGGTATTCTTTTAACTTTCTAATATGAAAAATTCCAAATAGAAACAAACAGAACAGTATAAGCCCCCATGTACTCATTATCCAGCTTCAAAAATACCACCTTTTTGCAATTCTTGTTTCCTCTATACCGCCAATCCATTCCCCATGCTGCCTTTACTGTTTTTAGATAAAATTTACACACATTGAAATGCACTCATCTTGGTTGTATAATTTTGACAAAATCCTAAATACACTTCTATCATGACAGAGGTTGTTTCTACTTTGCCAGTAAAGTTCCCCTACACTCCTTCCCTCTGAATTCTTGACACTCTGACACTGTGTGCTCCTTAGGAACAACCAGTGCTCTCATTACTTTTTACCTTAAATTTGTGTGGAAGGCTGAATAGTGGGCTTTTAAAAAATTTATTCATATGTGCACACATTGTTTGGGCCATTTCTCCCCCATGCCCCCCACCCCCCTCCCCTACCCCCTCCCTCTCCCCCTGAATAATGGCTCTTAAAGAGGTCTATGACCTACTCCTTGGAAGTTGTGAGTATGTTATCTTACATGCAATTAAGGTTGCAGGTAGAAATAAGGTTGCTAGTCAGCTGGTTTATTAAAATGAGCCCAATGCAATCACAAGGTCCTTAAAGCGGAAAAGGGAGGCAGAAGAGGACTTGCTGATGGAAGGGAACTATGAGACACTGAGCAGTATAGACAGCCTCTAGAAGGTCAAAAAAGCAAGAAAAAGTATCTTATCTAGAGCCCACAGAAGGAAGCACAGCTCTGCAAGCATCCTGATTTAGCCTCATGAGGATTATTAGACTTCTGATCTACAGAATTGCAAGATAAAAAACTTCTGTCATTAGGCAGGATGCCAGCAGCTCAGCCTGTAATCCTACTACTTCAGGCTAGGATAGGGAAGATTTTGGTACAGTGCCTGTTTTTGTCCCACCAAAAATAATTGTGTTGTTCAAGCCTCTAAGACTGTGGTAATTACTTACAGTGGCAATAGAAAACTAACACAATTATTTCTCTAGAACTTACAAAAATGGAATCGTATGAACTCTTTCCTGAGGCTTTTATGCTCAGCGTAACGCCAGTGAGATTTATGATGCTTTTGCATTTCATTTTACTGCTTAGTAACATTCCATTGCCCAAGTATACAATTTAAAAAATCCATTTTCTGTTAGCAGGAATCTTGGCTATTTCCAGTTTTTGGCTGCTGTGAGTAAAAGTGCCTTGCAGTGAACAAACCTTTATGGACATTTGCCTTCATTATTCTGGGTTAAATGCCTTAGGAGTAAAACAAATGATTTATATGATACGTAATCTTTTGCCCAATTTTAAAATGCAAAATCAACGAATCTCAAAATTATTTTGTTAAGCAAAAGAAGCCAGACACAAGATGCTACATACTGTTTAGTTCCTCTTATCTGAAATTCTAGAAAAGACAAAACTACTGTCAGAAGGAAGATCAATGGTCACCTGGAACTAGGGATAGAGGGAAAGGACTACCTACAGAGGGACATGGGTAATAGAAATGTTAAATATCATGGTTGTACTGGTGGTTTAATAATTAAAACTCACTGAAGTGCACACTTAAAATGTTTATAACTCAAGTCTCAACAAAGCTGTTGTAAAACCCCACAAACTAAAGCATTTCACCAAAATAGATAACTATTTTACATTTCTTTAAACAATGTATAAGTGCACAGATTACTCCATGTCCTCACCAACATTTGGTATTGTCAGTGTTCTTAATTTTGGTTTTTCAAATGGAATGTGCTGATAGCTAGTGACTTCATATGCATTTCTCTGATGACTAATCATAGTGAGTACTGTTCTATGTGCTTAGTGGCCATTTATGTATCTCTTTGTTAAGTATCCAAATCTGTTGTTCATTTTTAATTGGGTTGTCTCTTTATCACTAGAATTCAGGTATTCATTATATACCTGGACACAAGGTGATGGTCACATATATGTTTTGCAAATATTTTCATCCAGGTTAATGGCTTGCCTATTCCTTTTCTGAACATTTCTTTTCTTGAGTAAATGCTTTTAATCTTGATGAAATTTATCACTTCTTTATGGTTATCACTTTCGGTGTCCTCAGAAATTGTTGCCTATCCCAAGTTACAAAGATATTCTACTTAATGAAAGTTTTATAATTTTAGCTTCTTGCCAGGCACTGGTAGCTCACACCTGTAATCCTAGCTACTCAGGAGGTAGCGATCAGGAGAATCGAGGTTCAAGGCCAGCCCAGGCAAATAGTTCATGAGACCCTATCTCAAAAATATCCAAAACAAAAAAAGTCTGGCAGATTAGCTCAAAAGATAGAGTGCTTGTCTAAAAAAAAAAAAAAGAAAAGAAAAGAAAGAAAGATAAATTACTTTTTGGTGGCAAGAGATATAGTGTAGTGACAGAGTTTTTGCCTAGTATGGGCCAAGGCTCTATATAAATAAACAAAAAACAAAAAACTCCCTTTCTGCAAATAAACAAAAAACAAATAAACAAAAAACTCCCTTTCTGCAGCTGCCAAACCAACTAAGTGTACTTCAAGATTTGCTAAACAATACATTTTAATACATAAAAATACAGCCTTCAGAAGACCAAGCAGAGTTCTTTCTGGCTCCAGTTTTACCCTGTTAGAAATTCCAGTGTCCCTAACAAACTATTTGTCGTAACAGATCCAAATATATGGATAACTTCACTACAGTAAGATGATGGATCAGTGCAGTGCAGTGCAGTGAAGTTTACAATGTGGCTTTTTCATTCTGAAAGATCCGGAATGATACTTGGTACTACCACTCACTATGAAAATTTCAATTTCCTCTTTAAAAAAATAAAAACCCCACTTATGTTATACAGTTGCTATAAAGACCAATTAAGAAAATATAAGCTATTATGAACTTCAAAGGGGAAAATCAATTAGTGTATACATAAAATAAAATGGCTACTTTTATTTGTTGTACATTGTGTAAGAATATAGGAGTAGAACACTTAAGAAAAACTTAAGATAGGAAAAACAAAGCTTTCTTTTCAAAATGACAAGGGTTTCTACATTATAAGCAATTACCTGAGCTAAGAGGAGAAAGAAAATGAAGAATGAAAGAGAAATAATAACAGGTAAAATTAAAAGACTCTTGACAATAATGACATGGGTCCCTTCCTACCTTCACCACTAACAAAATCATCCCTTCTAAGACAGACCTAGTTTTAGCACACAGTATGTCAGATCTAATCTCTACCATCTGTCAAAACCTTACCTTTTATGGCCTTCCTAATATCCCTCCCCTGCTTTCAGTCCTCTCAGAGATAAATATGTTAGGTCTGAGGAGGTTCTTTGTAGGAATCTTTTACAGGCATATGTATTTTTCGTTTTCTTCTTGTATTCGTATAAATACACTAAAACCAATAATATTCTATGATTAAACAACCAGATTAGGGCTGGTGCCTTATACATCCTTTGTAGTGTCTATGTAAATCTTCAATCTACAAGCCAGGCCAAACACCTGAGAATGTCATTTCAAAGTTGTTTCCAATGGCAGAGGAAAGCAACATTTCTATGATTAAATCTACTGTTCTTTTATTCAGTAAACATTTGTTGAGCCAACTACTGTGTACACCAAATACTCAGCCTGGCGAGGAATACAGTGATAAAGAAAAGCACAGCCTGCGGCAAAGGATAGAAACCAAATCCCTCTGGAGTAATGCTTTATTTAACTGAGAAATCATATCTCTGCAAGTCAAATATTTTTATACCATAAAACACTTTATTACTTCATTTTAATAATTTCTGGTAAAAGATTTAAACTATAATACATATTTCCCTTTCTGAAAGTGATGATATATACTTAATATATCATAGCATTTTCTTAATAAGAATCAATTATTATATTCATTTATAGTATGGTAATTAGTAACTTAAATATTACTGAAAAAGGAAGGGATTTTTACAAGACAGGTCTAATGGTGTCAAACTACTATGATTTTAGACTTATACTGCTTTTAAATATCTTATTAAAAGTATGAAATATGGCAAATAATATTAAAGGATATCTATAAGAAGCATGACTTTTTAAAATGATGGGACATTATTAATACTTCTGAAGTCCCCTTATTCCCTTATTACACTAAATCTTTCTTCCTCTCAGAGTTAAATATCTATCTTGAAGGTTTTTTTAAAAAAAATTCATCTGCTTTTTTATAATTTTCTCTTTTTCTACATATTAATTTTTGTACTTATTAATATACCTCCCCTTAGAAAACACATGGAAATTTGTTAATCTGTTTCAGTCTTGGAAATTAAGAAGCAAATTTTGTCAAGTTCCCAAAGGCCTGAGGGGTTCTCTTTGAGGAAAGTCCATGAGTGTTACTGTGTATTTATTGGGTGCATCTATCTTGCCTATTTAAAGGCCCTTTAATTTAATTCCTGTACTTAAGATTGTTCCAGATGGTTCATACTGCCAAGTACATGATGTTGTAAGTCATGTGGCATGTAACTGAGGGATTCATGGACTAAAAGATCCTGAAGTAATACTAAACAATCCACAAATCCAACCTCTTCACTCTCTAAGGGAGAAATGAAGTCCAAAAGTTCGAATAACTTGCTGTAAGTAACAAAGCTTGTTAGCAGCAGAGCTAAGGTTAGTATTTAAGTCAATCAGACCAGTGGTTTTCAACTGGGGGCTTGCCAGGGAAACTGGCAATGTCTGAAGACATTTTAGTTTGTCACACTAGAAGGTGCCAATGATACCTAGTGAGTAGAGGCCAGGGATGCTGCAGTCTTACAATGTAGTGGATAGCCTTTCATGACACAGACTATCTGATCTAAAATGTCAGCAGTGTCAAGGCTGAAAAAATCTGATGTAGAACTACACTTTGTCAGATCTATGTAATCAATTTTACATTTAATACAAGCATTCAGAGAATATAAGAATGTTAAATAAGGTTATTTCCTTCAAACATTTAGGTAAATAAAAGGATTTGGTTTATTTGATTCCCTGTGTGATAGAATATGATGGATACAAGAATAGAACATACTCACCAGGAGCCAAAACCCAAGGGTCTCCTATCATAATCTGGGAGGTCTGGAGCAATCTTACAAGCTTGTATGTTCAGGTATTTAAATATGTGGATTTTGCCTTTTATACATATCTAAATAAAATTAACATATAAATACAACCAAATTATTCATCTGCAATAATTTTTTTATCATAAACAATTTCATGTAATGCAAGTTGGGACTAGAAGGCATTTTTATTAAGTTCATAGCATAATGTTTAAAACTATTTTTAGGGCTGAGGGTATAGCTCAAGAGGTATAGAGCACCTGCCAAGCAAGCAGGAGGCCCTGAGCTCAAACCCCAGTACTGCCAAAAACAAAACAAACCAAACCAAACTGTACTACCATTTGATTCAGTGTTATTTTGGATGTTTAACTAGTAAATATAGGTTTCTGTTTTTTAGTGACTGGTAAAGTATTAGTAACACAGAAGTAATTTATAATTACAAACACTTAAAATATGAAGGAACTTCATTCCATTGATTAGTTATGCATAGTCATCAAATTTAAAGATTTTCATCCAATAGACTATATTGACAACTTTTGATTTTGGGAGTCTAATAATTGTTTGTGTGCATCTTTTTTTTTTTTTCTTTTATTTTTTTATTTGAGGCAGGATGGCCTTGAACTCTCTATCCTCCTACCTCAGTCATAATTATGTTTTTATTCTGCTTTCTGTAAGACCTGTTTCAGAAGTCAAAACAAATTCTTTGGGCTAATGAAACCTGTCATGCTTTGAATCTAAAATGTCTTTTGAAGGCTTAGGTATTAAAGGCTTGGCTGCCAGCTAATGGGCTTTTGAAAGGTAACTGGATAATGAGGGCTCTAACTTCACCAATGGATTAATCCATTGATGAATTCATAGCTTAATGCACTATTAGGAGTTCACTGAGAGTGTATTTTTGAAGGATATATCTTGTCACTGGATCCTCTTCTCTGTCTCTGCTTCCTGGCTACCATGCACATACTCTCACTGCCATGATATTCTGCCTCACCACAGACTCACAGCAATGGAGGTGGCTGGACTGAAACCTTTGAAACCATAAGCCAAAATAAAATTTCCCTCTTTTAAGTTGATTTCTTTCAGGTATTTGGTCAAGGCGACAAAATACTGACTAATACAAAACCCTTCTATAGTTATGAAATTTATTCAAAAGTTTTGTAAGATGCCATAAAAATTACAATAGGCTTGTACAAAATCATTAAATTGCAGAGTTAAAAAAAGCTACCATGAAAATTAAATATTAACAAACATTTTAGATGGTAGTATATCTATGAGCTATATGCAAAGCTACCTTACAACTATTATCAGTTTCATTTCAGTCATTGATAAATAAATGAACAAACTGGCTCAATGAGGAAAACAGGAGGGACCAAAACTATGGTAAAAATACACTGATAATCTTTAGTTTGGAAAGATGAGTATTTTTATTTATCTCTAGCATTTATGTTCTCTATATTCAAATTTTACTAGAAAAATATTAAGAAATTAACTTAAATTTTATTAAAAAATTTTTGGAAGAATCTTCAACTTTAAAAATTGCAATTAGTGAAAGAAAAACACCTCTAGAAACATTGTCTTATTTCCATCCTATTTATTCAAGGCTTCTAAAGAACACATTTTTGTGGGATTTTATTTTAAAAGAGCTTAATTTCCAACAGAAGCAAACACATAATTAAATGTCATCCTTTGTGAAAAAAAAAAAAAAAGTTCATTAACATACTTAACGTATGATTTACCTGTGCAGGAGGTGACTGTAGTGGATTGTTATCTAGGGTGATCACCTGTAGGTGTCTAAGGTTCCGGTAACAAACAGGGATGGCTGTAATTTTATTGCATGAGAAGTCTAACCGTATCAAAGGCAACTCTGCCAGCTCTGCAGAGGTAAAATGCAAACAATTAATGATATTTTTTATATGCACCATTTTCCCAAGAGATGCCAGCTAAATATGGCAGAATTAATATCGGTAGTTACCGCCATTCTTGGTGACTAATGTAGTAAAGTGGTATAAAATCAAATCTAATTGTCTACAAATAGGAATACTAATAAAAATCAAGCAGTTTGACCCCACTCAAAGCTACAGAAATTCTCAAGCTAGAGGCCCTGATACCAAAAAAAGGTGAGGATAACAAAAGGATGACAGTCTGTATAAAGAGCTGTTAGATGGCAATACCACTCTTGGGGATATACTCAAAACACTGTGACACAGGTTACTCCAGAGGCACCTGCACACCCATGTTTATTGCAGCACTAGTCACAATAGCCAAGTTATGGAAACAGCCAAGATACCCCACTACTGACAAATGGATCAAGAAAATGTGGTATCTATACACAATGGAATTTTATGCAGCCATGAAGAACAAAATGTTATCATTCGCTGGTAAATGGATGGAACTGGAGAACACCATTCTGAGTGAGGTTAGCCTGGCCCAAAAGACCAAAAATCGTATGTTCTCCCTCATATGTGGACATTAGATCAAGGGCAAACACAACAAGGGGATTGAACTTTGATCACAAGATAAAAGCAAGTGCACACAAGGGAGATATGAGGATAGGTAAGACACCTAAAAAATTAGCTAGCATTTGCTGCCCTCAACGCAGAGAAACTAAAGCAGATACCTTAAAAGCAACTGAGGCCAATAGGAGAAGGGACCAGGAACTAGAGAAAAGGTTAGATCAAAAAGAATTAACCTAGAAGGTAACACACACGCACAGGAAATTAATGTGAGTCAACTCCATGTATAGCTATCCTTATCTCACTAGCAAAAAGCCCTTGTTCCTTCCTATTATTGCTTATACTTTCTCTTCAACAAAATTAGAGATAAGGGCAAAATAGTTTCTGCTGGGTATCGAGGGGGTGGGGGGAGAGGGAGGGGGCAGAGTGGGTGGTAAGGGAGGGGGTGGGGGCAGGGGGGAGAAGTGACCCAAGCCTTGTATGCACATATGAATTAAAAAAAAAAAAAAAGCGCTGTTAGATGCCTTGGTCTTCAGTATCAATTCATACAACTAGGGAACTACCCCTTTCCAATTCCTATAGGAACTGCATCAAAAAGGCTCTGAACTCAGGGGCCCCAAGCACAATGGGAAGACAAGATGAGTTGCCAGAAATAGAGGCTTTACATCAAAGTCTATACTTAATGGTAATTCCTCAGCACTGTTTAATCCTGCCCCACCTCATCTCAGTTCTTGAATGCCAACAGTTAGGAACACAAATGGTAATATAGGGGAAACAAAGAATCTTTCCCTACAGAAACTACACAGTTCCATATAAAAAGCGTTTAGATACTGATTTGGAGTTTCCTCTAATAAAATATACAGCTTATTTCTAAATTACCCTTCTACAATTTCTGTCTGGTATTCTCAGAATTTCTAGTCTGCTGTATACTGACAGTATATGATCCACAGAAGCTTAAAAGAAGCCTCCAACAACATGTAAGATGGAAACAAAAATCAACACACCAACCAAGAAAAGAAACTTAGAAGAAATAAGTAGGAGAAAGAAAACAAGCAGAAGAAAATCTGAAAAGCTGTAATTAGTATCTTTAATTTCAGATAAGATACTGAATCAATTAAACATGAAAGGGATGTTTCCCAAAAAGTCAGAAAAGAAAAAGAGTTCTTAAAAATGAAAAAATGGTGATAGGAATTCAAAATCCAGAATGAATTTCTGAAATTCAAACCCCAAGAATGGTTGGAACTATTTTACTACAGGGTAACACAAAATGATAAAGAAAGGAAAAATAAAAAAAGATTATTAAAGATCAGGCCAGGTGCAGTGGTATATGCCTGCAATTTATCACTTGGCTCGTAGAGACAGGAGAATCATGATTTAGAGGCCAGCCTGGGCTACTATACAGTGTACAATAACAACAAAAGATAAGAAAAATCAACAGATGAATCAAAGAGTTTAAAAAATGACATTAAGTTTAAACAATGACAGAGAAATCATAGGAGATTATCAAAAAGATAAGAAAGTTTCTCAGAATGAAGGTTTGGAAAGAGTATTACCAAGTATTCAGCATACTGAATTAAAACAACTCATACAATAGCACATCACCGTAAAAGTTTAGAGCAGAAGAAAAAAAAGGGAAGATCTTAAAATTTTCCAGAGGAAAATTGGCCACAAAGGACTAGGATTAGAAATGGCATATTTTCACCTACCAATTTTTTAACAATGAAAACTAAAAATGATAAAATTTTAAAATACTAAGAGAAAATAGTTTCCATTCTAGAATCTATAGTCAAAGGAAGAGCAGAGAATAAAGACACATCTTTTCAAATGAGGTCTCAAAGAAATGTTCTATGACATGTTCCCTAAAACTACTAGCGGTCGTCCAGCAAAACAGGGAGTAAACTAAGAAAAAGGAAGACCCAGAGCCTAGAAATAAGTGTACTCAACATGGAGCTGGGCTTGGTGGCTTACATCTGTAATTCCAAGTGGAGCTGGAAGATAAAGAGTTTCAAGGTCAGCTCTGGCAAAGAGGAAGTGAGAACCAATCTTGGAAAAAAAAAAAAAAACAACTGGGAGGCTGAGATCAGGAGGATTGGACAAGTTGTTCTCGAGACCTTCCATCTCCAAATATCCAAAATAAAATGGACTGGAGGTGTGGCTCAAGCAGTATAGTACTTGCTTTGTAAGCATAAAGCCCTGAGTTCAAGCCCCAGTCCCACCAAAAAAAAGCGCCAAAAAAACCCTGAAACAAAGGGTGGGTGGCTCAAGTGTTAGAGAACTGGAAAAACAACAACAAAAAAAAAACTATTCAACATGGAAGAAAGCAAGCTGAACAGCAGCACTAGGGAACAGCCAATCCAGATGGGAAGAGACTCAATGACGGAAATATGCAGGAAAAAAGAGTGATAGATAATCTGATGGGTTTGACCAAAAAGGTTGCTGGAAAAAACAGGGTAGAATTAGCCCATAGATACATATTAAAAAAAAACCAAAAAACCTAAATAAATTTTTTTTAAATGAAGAATTATTAACTCTAGAAAACAAGGTCTGCTGGAGTGGCTCAAGTGGTGGAGTACCTGCCTAGCAAGTGTGAGGCCCTGAGTTCTCAAGCCCCAGTCCCACCAAAAAAATAAAAGAATTTTCATTTCGCCAGGTGCCAGTGGCTCATGCCTGTAATCCTAGCTACTCAAGAGGCAGAGATCAGGAGGATAATGGTTCAAAGCTGGTCCAGACAAATAGTTCACAAGACCCTATCTCAAAAATACCTAACACAAAAGGGGCTAATGGAGTAGCTCAAGTTGTAAGCCCTGGGTTCAAGCCCTGTACGGAAGGGAAAAAAAAAAAAAAAAACTCTAGAAAACAATAAAATACATAAGAAAGGAAATGAAATTAGATTATGTCATTTGAATTGCCAGGGAATAATATTTATGTAGTTATAGTAATGTAAACACAGAATAACAATTTAATCAAAAGGTGTGATAAAACTACACTGGAAAGATGGGAGGAGGGAAGTAAAGGTATGACATGATAGTGTAAGGAAGTAAAATCCCCACCTATCATAATAGAAGTTGACGTTAAGTATCAAAGTTGACAAATTCAGCCATTGCTAGAAAAGCACCCCACTTAGAAAAACTTCAAGAAACATCAAAGCAGAGCTGGGGGAGTGGCTTAAGTGGTAAAATGTCTGCCTAGCAAGTGCAAAGCCCTGAATTCAAGCCCCAGTTAATGTAGCAAAAAAAAAAACCAAACATCAGTGGAAATAGTCAAAGTTTAGATGCATCTTGTTCACTGAAACTGGGATGCGGGGAGACTTTGAGGAAGGGGAATCCTATTATTTATTTGAAGCTTTTTAATACTTTTTGAATGATGCAATATTATTTAGTAAAAACTAAAATACAAATGGCAATATAAAAGATGTAATATGTTACCAACCTAATTGTAGTGTGTTAGAGATTGCTAATTGACATAAACTTCCAAACTAATTTATGTAGCTGTTGGAATAAAGTTCATGCTGCCTCCCTTTCACTATATATAGCAACTACAAAACAAGCTATTAAGAAACACTTAGAACTTCATGGTTCATAATTTTCTTGATAGTTTGTAATCAAAATAAGATTACATAAATAAATTAGATGATAAGATTGTTACATTGTAACTGTCATCTGAAAGCCTCAATTTTCATTTTCATCAAAACCTCAATGTTGCTGGGCATGGTGGTATACACCTGTAATCCTAATAATCAGAAGAAGGATCAAGAGTTTGAGGTCAACTTAGGCTATACTGTGAGAGCCTGTCTCTGGCTAAGATCAAGTGTAAAAAATCCAACACACACACATACACACTCATGTACACACATCTGAATGTTTTTATTAACTGATTTTACATGAGCAAGACCTTAAGGATAAGTGAATGGGTTCTGGATTCTATGTAGAGGAATGCTCCTACAGAGAATTTTTGGTTGGGCATGATGATGCACACTTGTCCTAGCTACTGCAGGAGGATAATGGGGTGAGCTATAGTACAGTCATAGAACACCTGCCTATTATGAATGAGGGCTGAGTTCAATCCTTAGTACCTAATAAATAAGAGAACCTGGTGTTATTAGGTCATATGTCGTGGTTTTGGTTCTCTTGAGAGCCTGTATTCATACTCCTTTGCTAGTAGCAAATACCAAGGAAATGAGAAAGGCCTTGAAGACAAAGGTATATAAAGGTTTAGTGAGTGGAAAGATAAGTTATGGTACCAATAAGTGTATAAAGGTGAACTGGTGAATCACCTTCTCATATGTTTACTTTGGATCCAAAATGCCAAAGATACATTAGTATCTTAGAACTAAATACTAAACTGGAACATATTGGTATAAATGTGTTGGATTCTACAGTGAAAGCAAAAACATCCTTAGTTAATTATGTCATCTTTTGTAGAAGAACCTAGAAAATCACCATCATTTTCATATCTTCTGAAGATATCTTAATCTTTTAAATATACATTCTAAAATGTTTATGAATGAATTTCTAGAATTTCCTTCAAATTAATCTAGAAAGTACAATAGGGGTATCCTCTAGATTAATAAATTAAATAAATGAATAAATGAAAAGAGTTGCAATGAGCTGATGACTGTTGTAGCTGGTTGATTGGATGCATGGAGGTTCATAGCTCCCATTTAGATATGAAATTTTCCATAATAAAATTAAAGAAGTATATAATAAAAAATGGTTCTTCACATTGTCACTTTCACTTATAGCTTTTTCTTTCATGAATTTGTATTTGTGAAGGACTGATAAATTATTATTTTTTTTTCTTTTATTATTCATATGTGCATACAGGCTTGGGTCATTTCTCCCCCCTGCCCCCACCCCCTCCCTCTCCCCCCCACCCCCTCAATACCCAGCAGAAGCTATTTTGCCCTTATCTCTAATTTTGTTGTAGAGAGAGTATAAGCAATAATAGGAAGGAACAAGGGTTTTTGCTGGTTGAGATAAGCAAAAGGGAGTTAACTCACATTAATTTCCTGTGCGTGTGTGTTACCTTCTAGGTTAATTCTTTTTGATCTCACCTTGTCTCTAGTTCCTGGTCCCCTTTTCCTATTGGCCTCAGTTGCTTTTAAGGTATCTGCTTTAGTTTCTCTGTGTTAAGGGCAACAAATGATAGCTAGTTTTTTAGGTGTCTTACCTATCCTCACCCCTCCCTTGTGTGCTCTCGCTTTTATCATGTGCTCAAGTCCAATCCCTTGTTGTGTTTGCCCTTGATCTAATGTCCACATATGAGGGAGAACATACGATTTTTGGTCTTTTTGGGCCAGGCTAACCTCACTCAGAATGATGTTCTCAATTCCATCCATTTACCAGCGAATGATAACATTTCGTTTTCTTCATGGCTGCATAAAATTCCATTGTGTATAGATACCACATTTTCTTAATCCATTCGTCAGTGGTGGGCATCTTGGCTGTTTCCATACTTGGCTATTGTGAATAGTGCCGCAATAAACATGGTGTGCAGGTGCCTCTGGAGTAACCTGTGTCACAGTCTTTTGGGTATATCCCCAAGAGTGGTATTGCTGGATTAAATGGTAGATCAATGTCTAGCTTTTTAAGTAGCCTCCAAATTTTTTTCCAGAGTGATTGTACTACTTTACATTCCCACCAACAGTGTAAGAGGGTTCCTTTTTCCCCGCATCCTCGCCAACACCTGTTGTTGGTGGTGTTGCTGATGATGGCTATTCTAACAGGGGTGAGGTGGAATCTTAGCGTGGTTTAATTTGCATTTCCTTTATTGCTAGAGATGGTGAGCATTTTTTCATGTGTTTTTTGGCCATTTGAATTTCTTCTTTTGAGAAAGTTCTGTTTAGTTCACTTGCCCATTTCTTTATTGGTTCATTAGTTTTGGGAGAATTTAGTTTTTTAAGTTCCCTGTATATTCTGGTTAAGGGACTGATAAATTATGCTTAATCATTTTTATCATTTAGATATATACAACAAAGTTTATAGTCAGCCTAAGAGCCAGTCTCCTAGTACAGTCTCTCACCCCACTCATTATTTCAGTCTATATATTACCTTCACATGGTTAAAGTTCAGCTCAAAATCCATTTTTAAGTCAGTGCTAATTGCAGGAATGCTTTTCATTATACTAGATTATCTCCTGCTCAAAACATGTTACATTTCCCACAACAGTTATGCTGAGATTCTACTATGAGTTATCAACTACATCACTTGGTAAGTTCTAAAAGTAAAATTGTTGTAAGTAGTTATCAGAACTTTTCACTGAACAGTCTTTTTTTTGGGCAGCAGTGGGGTTTGAACTTAGGTTCTCAAGTTTGCTAGGCAGGCACTCTTACAGCCTGAGTCACTCTGCCAGCCCTTGTCTTGTGATGGGTTTTTCAAGATTTCCCTAGGGCTGCTTCGACAACAGACTCCCCTTGATCTCTGCCTCGCTGTGTAAGTTAGGATCTGCGTGAGCAGTGAAGTCTTTTAAAATCCACAACAGAAGTACTAAATAAACCACTAGATCTCAAATGCTAGCCCTAACTCTTATACATTTTTGTCTTAATTGCATCAGTCTGACAGATGTTTAAAATAAAAAAAAAATAATAATAATGAAACAGTTATTTCGTAGTTCTTACCTTCAGGCAGACGTACTAAGTGATTTCTTCGTTACATAAGGTCTCTCAAATTTCCAGATTACCAGATTTGGGCGAAGGGATAGTTGATTTCATTTGCAGCTTCACTCCTATTTCAAAAGGATATAAAGTACAGATTATTTTAATTACAGACCATCTGCTTTAAACTATCTGTAAAATGAGATTAGGTGAAAATAATATCTACAGTCTTCCCCAATAGTTAAAAAAAAGATTATTATTCTGTGT